TCAGTAAAAACATGCAGAACCCTTCTGAACAAAAATAGGATTTCCAGAGAAAAGGAAAGAACAGAGCATGTTCAGGTAGAATAGTAAAGGTAACGCTACAATAAACTGTAACTGTAAGTTTCTGTAGGACAAGGTGAGGACGGTATAGCGTGGACTGAGAAACATCACTGGTTAAAAAGGGCTTACGAGCTAAACAAGTTTAGCAACAGATTTGCCTATGGTCCTATCACTTGGAACAACACCTTCAAGGTTTCCACCCCCCACATTTCCCTTCACTGCATTTCTATCTCATTCAAATTTACAGAATATTCCCCTACAGAATGGTTTCAGCCAAGAGAACAGACTTGGTTTCTGTATGACATACTGTTATCTATAAAATGGACAAAATACAGAGAAAATTCAGGCTTTTGTCCATTTTCATGCATAACAGTACATTAAGTATATTGAGTTTTTTACTTATTCATACTATTTCATTCATTCATTTATTCCTAGAAGCTGGTGCTCCAGCACTGTTCAAAACTACAGACCAGTAGGTCTCACATTGCATATATCATGAAGACCTTTAAACATCAAACTCTTTTGCCAACAAACAAGTTTTCCAACAAGAGTTGATGCTCCATACTTATCTATGCAGATAAAAAGGGCTGCCACTATGGTCTGAATTATGTTTTTTGATTTATTCAACGGTTCAGTGAAAAATCAAGTTTACACAATTTCCCACTTATTCCTTATATATTTGACCCACCAAGACATGTTTGGTGTAGAAAAAATGCTTCTGTATTTTTGCACCATAGCTACATGGATGTAATAGAAGTTTTTGTCCTTTAGCATCAGGCAAACTGCAGACCTATATCACACGCTTATCTAAAATCACAGTTAACTGTTAAAGTGGCAAGCCCATCTATGTTACGCAGTACTTTCTAGCACAGCATTGTATCCCTAAGCCTCAGTGGTTCGCCAGAATTCACAACTATAGATAGTTTTGATGTTCATGTTCTTTCACTATGAACCCCAGCATGCTTTATAGAAATACATCACACAACCACTGGAAATCCCTATGGTGTCAACCAACAAATCAAGTTTTTCAAAAGTTTCTCCCTCCTTCAAGATGCAACATCACAAGGGGGATTCCTCATGTTTAACATGGAGATCTCACTCTGGAGACTACTGCAACACTGATGTAGTAGGCATGTCTTTTTAAGTAATAAGGGTATAAGCTTCCATGACTGCTAAGCTACATTATCTTTGCAGCTCCAGTGCAAAACTAAAGAAGCCAATACTGCATACCAAACATGTTTGGGGTGATCAGTTACATCTGAGGTAGATTTAAAATTGTGTACATATGCTTTCAACCAAGCATTTGCTTTAGCCTCTTTCTGCCTAACTAACTGAAAATAAGCTCACATCTATGCAGGTGGATGCCCCGAGTGTACTGCCCACTTTGACTGCACCAGTCTTCGACGGAACTCAAATGCAGGAATCAGAAGAAATAAGCTGTAGCAGGCCACTCCCCTGTTACAGGTTAAAGAAAATCCCAGACTGGGTCTCTGTGCTCCAGCACAGAGGGGAATTCATAAGGAAGCGGGGGTGGAGGGGGGAGACAGGGGATGTATGGTACACCATCGCTCCTCTGCAATCAGAGCTGGCGTGAGGAGGCGAAGGAACACAGGCATTATGGGATATGCAGCAGCTCCGGCAGACCTCCAAGGCTGTCAAGGGTGACCTTGGCCCAGTTGCTGGACAGCATTAGTAATGTTCACCCCCCAAGGAACTGCTCCACCCCCTCGTCTCCATACTCTGGCATGGGCCTCAGTGTGAAGTTCCTTCCCTGCGGGCTAACGTGAAAATTGCTGCATTATAATGATGTTTTCCTTTGCTAGCCTCCCGGAACCCAGCGAATGATGAAGCAATCTGCATTCAATATTGACTGGCGAAAACGGTTGCCATAATAACATTAATGAACATTATTCCAGCAAATCCCAGTGCTTGGAACATGACCTCTACATGCTCTCCGTTTCCCCTTCTCTAAAAGGAAAGCCAGTGTCGTGGCATTACGACAGACTGAAATGAGATAGCTGGTTCATCAACACCTCAGAGGAAAAAGAAAAAAATGACTTTGTAAGTTCATAAAAGCTTTGGAGCTAAGCATACATGTAATGGAGTTCATGTTCTTGCAGTAGGCATAAAGACTTTATTGAAAGCTCTTGTCCTGAAGCTTTTACATTGGAAAGTAGCGCAAGTATTGGTTTCTATCACTACTATACTTAGCAATTAGCAGATGAGTTGAACCAAGTGTGTTGTGTTGTGTGTGTGTGTGTGTGTGTGTGTGTGAATTAAGTGTGTGTCCAAGAAAATTCTCAAACTGCGCTGAACACCAGTCTTCCTAGATCATAACTAAATATCCCTATTGTATGGCATACAGTCTATAAAAACGGACAAAGGTATGTCACATAGCAACCATGTTGTACGGGCCATCTTGGAGCCTGACTTTCACATTTTTTAAAGGCGTTAACACATTTTCTTAGTTTGACCCCTCAAACCAAAGAAGGGCAGACTGAAGCACAACTGTTAATGCACTGTTGCTATGACTGTGTCTGTAGTCTTCTAGTTGAAATACAACTTTTAAATGGCAACTTCTACTGATGTGTATTTTGAGTTGTTTCCAGCTATTGCCATGATAAGTGTATTTATAAGGGAAGTACACGGAGTCTGAAGTGTCATTTAAAAGCAAAACACACGCTGATGCCAGCAATACCAGAGATTCAGCAGACTACGCTGTAAAGTGTTTGCGGGTGATTGACCTATGGGTAAATCAGTGAGCAGCAAACTTACAAAAGCAATATCAACGTGGAAACGTATAGTTGCCTTTGAGAACCTCTGCTGTAACAAGAATCCTTGTATGAAGAAGAACGAGAGGCTACAGTCATGGAACAGTTGGAACCACTGACTGTATAAATGACGCACATGGTATATGAAATCATTGATTTGCACAGGCAGCTACTGTTGCTTTCATAGGACGTCAGCAACGTAAACTGGAAACTGCCTTCATTATGTGCAAAATCGCATGATTTTCATGTGCAGGTTCTTGGGAACTCCATGTTACTGAATTCTGAAAGCAAGAGATACATTCTGAGGAAGCTTATTTTGTTCACTCATATAGCTTTGACAAAAACGTACTCCTTTTTTTAGGGTCGATTATGAGCAAATAAGACATATGGTATTACTGTTTTTTTGTTTGTTTTGTTTTTTTCAGATAACAGTATTCCATGCAGTGTCAAAAACTACATACGCAAGTCTTCTGGAGATTTCTGCACAACTTGATATGCAATGCTAATTGGTGGGGTATAAGCTTCCTTTAATTATTAGCTATGTTAGCCTTGTAGCTCTGGTGCAAAACTAAAGAATCAAACAACAAACATATCTTGGCTGATATATTTGTGGTAAGGGGAAAATTTCTATACATTTCCAATGAACTACCCCTTTAAAGTGGTGGACTGTCAATTATTGCGAAAGATCTGAAAAGGTAAAGAAGATAAGGAACTTATCTTCTTGTCAAAGTTTATTAAAGCAGTAACATGGTCTGTGGCTTCCATAGTAACAGCCGTTTTACTATCCTGAATCTTGGTCGCTAGAGCCATGCTCCAGACCTGCTTGAGCAGCTGAGCCTTCGGCATTGTCTCAGCTCAGTTTGGACTGTGCCTAGGCAGTAGTAGGAGTTAGGATGTGTGTGGAGAGGGGAGTGTTTAGGGTTAACTCTCGCCTCGGGGGGGGGTCGATGTGAGGCAGCCTCTCGTGCCAGTCGTCCATTACACACGCCGCTAGTCTCTCCCTCTCACGTTCCACCCGTGTCTGCTGGGTCAGCCTTAATGAGGGACGGGCTGGGGGTCCACGAAAGCTGTTAGACGCGCACACAGAGCGCCTTCCAAACCAAACAAACCCAAGCCCTCTTTCCCTAAACACATTGTTCAGGAGCCCCACAACGAGCGCACGAGTGTGGCAGACACATTTGCCCACCGATGTGAAAATAAAACGTCAAAGGTTTACATATTTCGCTTTGGGGGGGCGGTGCAGAGAACATGTTATTTGGATTGAAGGCCAAATCTGCAGGATACTCACTTAGGGTTCTTTCGAAACACTATTTGTCTAGGTTGATTTGGATGGAGGTGGAAGAGATAAGTAAGAGAGAACATATGAAGACAGAAGCAATGATTCAGGAAAGAAACAAAAGGCAGGACACATGCATAAAGCCCAGAGCACACTGGTCCAACATTTTCATCCAAGAAACACCAACAAACTCTGGATTGATGTGCCATACACGTGTGATGGTAGTCTCTAGAATGTCCTCCCCCATTTTTACATTACTCTAGAATGTTGTTCTTCCCCAACTTCACATAATTTCAAGAATGTTCTCGCCTGTTTCACTCTATTCTAGAATGTTCTCGTCCATTGACACTGTTCTAGAACGTTCTTCCCCCATTTCATACTGCTTGAGAAAGCATGTTTGAGAATGTTCTGCCCCACTGACACTATTCTAGAATGTTCTCTCCCCAGCTTCACAACGTTTGAAGATGTTCTCCTCTGTTTCATGCTATTCTACAATGTTCTCTTCCATTCACACTGTTACAGAATGTTCTCTACCCACTCCCTGCTATTCTTCATGTAGAAAAACACTGAACATTTTTCAGCATTTTTCAAATGTCTATAGATACGAAGAAAACAACTTCAGCTTCACTCAGGCAACTAATGTTGTACTGTTTATGTGACTCGTAAATGTAGGCGCAGAATAATGAGAATTCATGTTTTTTCTGCTATTACTAATAGTAAAACTAAATGGTTAACCCCTCTGTAGCACAATACTAATAAGGAAGTAGGGCCTTGATTTGGTCACAGCCTAGTCCTTTTTGATTCAGTTCTTACTCTGTACACTGCCAATATTGGTGTTAGTTGGTAAATTTTGAGTCAGTGAGTTCTGGACTTGAAGTTACTTATGGTTACTGTACCTGTGAAGGAGTGAATGACGTATGATTGGGTGCCATTGAAGCCGCGGATTCAGGTTGTCCTTCCAGCCAGACAATTTTTAAAGGGTTTCCGGTCAGGCCACTCTCATTTTTGCATGCCAGTTCCTGAATCAAAGTACAAAATAAGTAAGATCATACAATGATCATTTCCTTTAAATTCGCTTATTTAAATATGAGAAGATAAATTTTTCTATACCATTTATCAACAAGTCATTATTATATGCCATTTGTTATAAACAAACAAACATCAATGATCATTCTAAAACACCCACATAACATAATATGTTTGCCTTTCCCAAGTTCTTTTCTCTGTCATAATACCAGTTGCAGTATAATGGTCAGATCAGTCAAGGCTACTTCAGATAACTGAAGAAACAGAGAGAAAACAAGTTTTTAATAAAGTTAAGGGGAAAAAACCTACTGCAAACGCTAATGTCATCAGTCATCACTGTCAAAGTAACATCACGCTGATCGAATGTTTATGTGCGGTGTGACAGAGGGAGCGTGTGCTGAACTTGAGCTAGCCTCAGGCCTCCGGTCTGCCCAGAGACCAGCAGAGTGCCAGACGCAGGCAGAGTCTGTTCTTACAGCACAGTGGCCATGTTCTCTGAGGAGGTAACCACACAAGCAGGAACAGCCCACAACAGTCTCAGCACGCTACAGCCCAGGATGCAGACAACCAGACACATCACGGCAATGAATAAAGCTCTGGTCTCCATTAGAAACACAAGCTCATTCCTTCAAAACATCAAACATTCAGACTATGCATACAAACTCTATAAAACTATAAATACTACCTTCAGCCACACCCATGATGCTTAGTGATCTTTAGTGTAAGGTTTGAACAAACTCTGGGATTACAGCTAATACTAGTGATGTTGAGGTGGCTAGCCGACAATGAATCCTCCTAGGAGTGCTGTCTCTGAGTAATGCATTGTGTGGGAACATGTACTGGAACAATTTTTGAAAGATGACATTAACGGGATGTGGGGCTGATGTAACTTTTGACTGATGTAACTTGATGTAACTGGGCAGCTGGGATTTTTTTTTCCATTACTTAGGTCACATGCACGATGGCAGATTCTGTCCAATGCCTAGCTACATTATGTTAATATATACACTATCAGAAAAAAAGTATTGTGCAAGTACATTTTAGTTCATCATGGCACAAATAATGTAAATGTACAATCAAATCAACAACAATGGTTTTAAGGTTCAACTGTGTACTTTAAATAAGTTTTTCTTAGGGGAAGCTACATATCTGTACCTTTTTATTTTTATTACCTTTTTATTATTATGTTTTAAAGCATATAATGTTAATAAAATAAAAGGCTGGAGTTAACATGTGGTGCATGGAGTAACTTAAAAATATAATTTCAATGGAATATGGTACAATTATGTTTCTTAAGGTACTGAAAACATACTCCTAAGGACGCTGCCCCACTGACAAGAGGGGTACTGCCCCAGTGACAGTTTAGTACCGTTTTCTGAGAGTGTAGTTCTGTTACTCTACACAATGATGGCACCACACTTTCAAAATTGGTGGGTCAAAATGTATTAGTTCTTTAATGACTGTCAAAAACAATTGGGTCACTGACTAACCAACTAAAAGTTAACATTATTTTTAGCATTATAGCCTGTCATGGTTATAATGTCAACATACCCCAATAAACATTTTTAACAGTATCAGTGTTGTTAGTATTGTGAGAAGTGACCTTCACTGGGTTCTGCTCAGATAGCTAACTGCAACTGACAGACGTTCAATACATCTCACATACTGTGGTAACATGAACTATTAGTGCATTAGTGCACTGCAGTTGATACATTTGTTGCCCCAAACCCATCTGAAATGGAGATTATAATTGGTCCAGCTGATGAGTTTAACTCTCCATCTGACCATGCCTATAGGTCAATAATCTGTAAGGCTGGTGAGAGTCGAGATGTTTTTCCCCCAAAATAATTGGTGGGGCATCGCCCCAGTATTCTGGAAAGTGGTCTCTCTCCCATTGTTTCAGCGGCCATGAATATATAGCTGTGCTACTATTTTTGCCTTTGGCCATTTTGTCAAAATTTTGGCTATGCCAGAGATACGCATGAATTAAATCATAGTCAAAATACTCAAAGAAAATGAACTGACCAGCTGCTTGAAAATGCTATGAGGTTATAAACACTATACAGAGAAAACAAGTGTCATTAGAACCAAAATACTTAGAAAAGTGAAAGAATTGGAAGCTGACCATTCTTTGCCATACAGAACTGTTCCTGGAACACCTAGTGAAACTGAGAATACTCACCGCTGCTCTAACTGTTGCAAACTCTACCACAGCACTGCCTTTCTTCTTACTGGACATGACAACGTTCAAGACATCTCCATACTGTAAAATAGAAAAGGAGAAATTACGACAAAATACATTACATGGACCTAAATAACTCCAGACATTTCCAACAAGTCCAAAAACAATTCCTCACAACTGTATTTATACTGTATTTAATTAAACTGGATACTGAAGTAAACATGGCATAATAAAAAAAAGAAAATTGTAGCATTTATCAAGACTAAACCTTGTCCAGGCAGGATTCAGGGGGAAATGTCTCTTAATTTCACTTTCTGGCTTAGCATTCATATTAGCACTTACATATAATTGTACGGCACCTCATTAATCACTCTGCCTGTACATCATTAATCACTTTATGTATGTTCAGACCATGCGAACAGTGAACAGTGAAAGATTCACAAGGAAACGGTCCATCTACGACCAGTTTGGGACCATTCTGTTTTGCTAACAGTCAGTGCTCTGGACCTCCTTAGCTCTTTTTGCTCCAACTGAAGAAAAGGCTAAGTCAGGACTTTTTTGGGGGGATACGGGGGCTGAAATTAGCACAGCTCAGCTCCAAAGGCCTGCCAGTAAGATTTAGACTGGGGAGTAATGGGAGGTTTGGCTTAGTTCACTAAATGACCTCTAACCCCCACAGCAGAGGAGTGGAGGATTGGTTTGGACAGAGTCTTCAATTTGTCTGCTGTCCCTGTTCACTCACGGTCATTAAAGAGAGACCATGCAGGGATCCCTTGGCCAATCAGCACAGCGTCGAGATGTCACCTGTCATAGAGAAGTGCTTATTAAGACATTACCCAAAGACTGGACGTCAAGCGGCAGAAAAAATGGTTTCTGAGAATCTAAAGTCCCTGGGAATCAATGTTCATTCGCTGGGAAAAAGAAAAGGCATGAATGCAATTGGACACTCAGGACGAAAACCTTGCCAATAGTGACAAAGGAAAGGACTCCCAAAGGACCCCTATTTCATATATCAAAACATTTCCAAAGCTTTCTTTGGGGAGGGAGAGCTGTGGAGGGGAGTAAAGTTGATCATGGTTGGACTCTGGCGGTCCAAAACATACAGAGAACCTTTCCAAATGGAGACTGGAGCCTGCTTCTTTGTTACCAGCATTACCTGACTTTCACCCCCATAAAAAACACATTCCTTCATTCAAAAAGGTGGGTGATAAATCAAAGACATAATCACGATACTTGAAGGCATTTTCATGAGAATCGATATGCATTACAAAGTTTAGTTTTTCTGAGGTTAGAACAGCCAAAACAGTAGATTAAGCAAGATTATGAAAGACCGTGGTTACAGTGAGGTTTGTTATTCTAATGACAAAATCAACGCTTAGATGAATGCCCCACTCGGGAGGCCTGTCGTCTACTTTTAATAACGTTCCAGCTTTCACCAGAGCACAGCAATGAATTATGTACTAAACACACATATACGTCTGTAAATATGATATTTACGTTTTTAGCAGACGCTTTAGCACTAGCACTTGCACTGTAGGTGAATGTAGCGAAAGGAGTTGGGCAAATGAACTTTTATTGGCATGGCAGCGTTTGTGTCAGCATAGGGGAAACAAAGTCCAGTCTCCCACGTGTGGGCCAACAGACCTCTGAAGTTGTGCGTAGTCAGCGTCGTGCCCGTATTAGGAACTCCTGGTCTAAGCCGTATTTCTCTATGACAAAAATGAATGTGGTTTTTGAAAATCATTGGTGTCCTGTGGTAAACGACCACAAGCAATCTGACATTCCTGCGCATTGAAAGTAGGTCTACTGTTAAACAACACTATCATTTAACAAAACCAGTTAAAAACTGCCACATTTGAGAAAGTTTGCTGGTTTGCGTGGGGTATTTTGTTAAGGTTGTCAGTCTTATGATGTCAATTCAGTGTGCAGCAGTGTTAGCTTGCATGTAGCAATAGTCGTATTTCAGCTCCTTAACAAATTCAGGAACTAGCTTACAGCAAAATGTATCAACTTTGGAACATTTTAGTTTACCACGAATCAGTAACAGGAAATTGGAACTATAAAAGAATCAAAAACAACTTTTTTGAACATATTGCTATTTTTCTGGAAGTAAGATTTTTAAAATATCTCCCACTGAGGTGCAGGACACATTAATATGACTGCCGCAAGAAGTGGTTCAGCTCTAAAAGTACAGATGATACTCACGATATACATGTGATGTATGCTGTGATGTGATTTAACACCTAGATAATGATGACATCATATTGAGCACCCCTGCTTCATTCAATTCACCTTCAAAGTTAACTTTCCACAGTTCTTGGAGCCAAACTTCCATTGTGCCTTCTAAGAGACAACCTAGTCCAGTGCTGGGAGTGACATCATCACTACATGCTTGAATTCTGGCCTACTCTAACAAACCTGCATCTCTGCCAGAAGGCCTCAGAGCCGATTAGGTGCTGCACCGGGGTGGTATGGAGTTGCTGAGTTGCATGAGAAGAGCACATTTCCAAGCAGCTCCCCTGGCAGTGCTAAACATACCGGCGAAGCCGGTTAGCGAGAGTGGCGTGCGGCACTTTAACAGGGCACTGCAGTGCCCTCGGCACTTTTCGCTGCTACAAAACTTAATGATGCTCGCACAAGGAGGGCGAAATAAAAAAGTGCTTAAACGGCTGATGTCATGCAGGCCTGAAACCTGGGGCGCTGGACACGGGGCTGGACTCATTAGGAGGAGAAACAGCTCGTTCACACACAAGGACACTTTCTCACACTTCTTAAAATGTACCATGCAGCCTGGACCCTGGACCAGGCTGCTGTTTGTTTTAGCTAATTGGGTAAATACTGAAAAGTGAGATTTACACTCAAAAGCAGTCACTATTAATCGATTTAAACTTTCTTTAAAAAATAGATTAAAATTTACATCTTTTGGCATTGATCAGTGGGCATTTGTATTATGGTAATGCATATTCTAAAGGGAAATTCCACTGCATTTTCCAAATCGTTTATTCCAGACCGTTTAATGTCGCTAAAAGTTAGTCTTTTCAAATTGATCACTATTTCACAATCATTAACAAGGCTGAAGATATGCATAGGTTCGCTGGTCATTTTAGGGGAGTAAATAAAATGGCCATATTTTGTTATTCATGTCATCACAATTACAGTGTCTTACATTATCATGTAAGACTTTGTGATCCCTAGTTCCTATCACCACCATAGTAAACAAATCTGAACTGACAAAATTTCTCTACAACATACCGTTTTGCATCAAACCACTCTGAGTGACTGTTTACATCTCAATGGTTGAATTATGCAGAAATGTTGAAAAATCAGTGGAATGTATTATGCTTTCGGAAGTGTGTGTGCCCCCTAGCCATCACCAATTGACAATACTAATGTCGGGGGGGGTGCATGCTTAGGCAGGTCACTTTATAAAAAAAAAAATAATAATTTACTTTCCCAGCACACCATCCGAATGTGTTTCAGTGCACACAGGCACACATGGACTACAGTCCCACTCTATGCCTGCTAAAACCAGAGAAAATTCATTGTCAGAAGCTAACTTGCTTTGGTTTGGTAATTTTCGCTGTAATTGTAGTAAATTGTGTGTTTACAGCTAATAAATCACTTTGTGTTAAAATAAGCCAGACAACATATCAGGATTAATTCAGGACATGGACTAACATTAGATATTAAAAGAAAACTTGTTGGGGGAAAAAAAACATTGTGAGACAGATATAATTGCTGCATCTAAAAGCCTCTCAATGAGTGTTTTTGAACATTTAAATTACCCGTCTTGACAGACAATTGTGATAGATGAAAATTATGGTTAACTGGCTCAAGCTTACCACATACATGCTTTTTTTTTTGGTCATACTGTGGTTTTTCCAGAGAGTATTTTAACATATAGTTCTTCAATCAGAGATTTCAGAATCTCTGAAGGATTCTTTTACATGTTACTGTTCAGTAAAGCCTGTTTTAACTGTCTGACCTTTTTAAAAGCTCTGATTACTTGACTGATCTTTAATCTTTACAGTCTGATCTTCAAATAATAATTAGATTAACTGATTACTAATATAATCAGTGGTGACAGCTCTAATATGGTCTTGAACAACTGATGATCTAGATGCTTAGGATTTTTAAGGCATGCTGACTGATTTGTTGGACATTGAAGATAATTCACACAGTGTCACCTTCTGAAGGAGGCGCTGAAGAAATTCCTGAGAATATCCGCCGTTTGTGTCGTCGTCTTTTTTACATTTCCACTTCAGCTGAAAGAGAGACGGAAACACATAGTACGTAAACTAAGCAAATCAACAAGACATTACAGGACAGCAAGCAAAATTAACTCATCCAAGCTCCATACTGACTCCTTAAACTTAATTTCAATTCCTTCATAAGTCGGGTCAACACAAACGGCATGCCTGAACTCTTTATTTTTAACAGCTGTGGGTGAAGGGGTTAATGCAGCTGTGCATAAACCCATTTGCTGGAAGTGGACTATGTGGGTCTCCTCCTGATGGCCTGCATAGATAAATGTGGAATGAGCAAACCAAGGTCAGAGAGCAGCGCTCTGAGGCAATGAGATTTTTTTTTTATAGAGACTGAGCTCACCAGACCCAAACCCACACAATAAACCCCAACCCTGGAGCCTTACTCTCAGTTTGCAATGGAGAGAGAAAGAGTCAGAAAGGGAGAAATTGATTAAATTAACCAAGAAGCCTGCAGCGCTCACAGCACTGACTCACCTGCTAACCACCAGATGTTTTAATGAAGCGCTAACAGTAACCAGACAGATTTACAGAGGCACGTTAAAGCACTGCTTATGGAGAGGCAATGTCAGAGGAAATGTGGAGAGCAGCGGGAGAAGTCCTTTACAGACTCTTATGTAAGTCACTGTTGAAAATTATATGGCTGTGGATTGGTCAGTCATTATGTTTTGTGGCAACTCTGCTTTTATGCACAATCATTAACTTCACGTTCCAGATTTTGATGGTGCTAGTTTACCATCTGTTGCTACTGATCAACTGAAATAAGCCCTGTTTTTTAAAGTTCTACATTTATAGTTTAACAGACGTTCTAGCATTCTAGACAAGCCTATAAATGCCATTAACAAGTTTACTATTAATCAGAATATTCATGATTTTTTTTTTTTGGACAAAAAGTGTGTGGGAATTATGCTGTAGAATTGTGCATTGGAACTATAATGAGACCTACTCAGTTTCCAGATTCTGGGACAGACGCAGGATAACAAGCTGCCTATAAGGTCCATAATACCCCAGTAGACATTGTGTTCCTTCTAATATAAACAAAAAGTTGTGTCTAATTTCGTACTAAAACCCAATCAGAATTCAGCTGTTTTAATGATGTCATTTCTGAGAACTGTAGGTCTACAGTATCAGTACTTACATGTATAGCTTGAAATTGAAGTTGTTTAGGCTTAGGCTGCATTACCTGTTTAAGTTATATACAGCACACAGTGAGGAGAAACAAATATTTAGACACTTGTGTTTTTTGGTATTTAACATACCTCCATTCCACATATCTAGTTCAAATCTACACACATAGTGTCTTTTGATAGAGAGGTTTTGCGCAGGGTGTTGGACCAAAGATGAATGCAGTGCAGTTCACTGTTTATTGTTCTCTGTCTAACTGTTGTTCCTGCTTCTTTCAGGTCATCCAGCAATTATTTTCAAGCTACTGTTGGAATTTCTCTGACCATTCTTAACAGTAGTGTAACCAACCTCACCAATTGTACCAAAATGTATGTTAAGGTCTTTGCTATGATTCTGCTACTCGTTGCGTGAGATCTTCCTAACCAATGGTAATATCTTAAATTGCAATGTGCACAAGAACATTTTTATTTGTGCAGCATTTATATGTAAAACTTAATTTTTTTTTTTTTAACCTTTTTAACTTACACATGTATGTATACTATAATATAGCGTCTGAATACTTTTTTTTACCTATCAGCTTCGTTTTTCAAACTTATCTTTGTTTACGCTTATGAACTGTATGGTCAAAATACATCATGTGTGTAAATGATACATGCACTAAAAGTATAATAAATAACAAAAAATAATAGGGTCTGAATACTTGACCCCTTACAGCATGTCCATTAGCAGTCAAACAGCCCTTCTAATGAGTTATTCAACGACTCTAAGGTGCATCCATTGCTGACGCAGGTGTTCAATTGCGCACACGGCTTCTATGATCTCCACAGAACAGCAAAGCCAATAGAATGAGACACACTGGAGTAGCCACATATAAACCTAATGCCACAATGTCCAACGCAAAGAAATGGCTAGAGGGGCATAAAGCCCCCAGCACTGGGCAGAGGAGCAGTGTAACCGCTTTCTCTGGAGTGATGGAGCTCCATCCAATAGCTTTGAGATGAGTTGGAGAGACATCTGTGATTCAGAACTAATCATCCAATATGACCTCACTGCACTTGTAGCTGAATGCAATCAAATCTTCACAGCAATGTTCCAACATCTACTGTAAACCCTTCTCTAAAAAGCAGTGGCTATTACTGCAGCCAGTGGGAGGGCAAACTCCCCATGTATACCCTTGAAAATGTGGTCTACAAACATCTGGACACGCTGCTCACTTCTGAAAGTGGAGTTTTTATGTTTCTGTGCATATTTAAACAACCTCAGAGTGATACTTAAATAAAAGTTCATTATTAAAACTGAAGTATTTGTTTACTTGCTTTACTTGTTTACAGAATGCTAAGAGCTCATTATTATTCTTTACGGTTTGGACCAACAGAGTTCATTACAAATTACAGTATCAGTAGGATATGGACAGACACATACGCGAAAGTAGGCAGAAGTGGCTATAAATACACTATCATAGAGGTGGACAATATGATAATATTTATCATCAACATGACAAACTACATCATATTACATCACTTTTTTGAAGATATCATGGACGTCATCAGTGCTTAAAGTACACCCAACTGAATGTTTCGTAACAAAGAAGGCAAAATTAGTTGTTTAATTGATCTTGCTGCAGAGTTATATGTGAATAAAATAATTCTACTCTTTTTGTTTTTTTTGTGGTTCTCTTCCGTTGGTTCCAAATTATCAAAATTCTGCAAGACTAAATTTTGTGATATAAATTGTAATTAAATGGTTAAGATGTAAACAAAGTCATTCAGAGTGGATTGATATGAAATGCTTCAATTTAAATAAACCTGAAGAGTCAGAATAGTTCGTAGTGGTTATAGGAAACAGACATCTGAAGAATTAAATGCCTTTAACATAACAGTTGGACATAAGGATTTAGCTTTTTTAAAAATCCATTTATAGTGGAGAGGTTGTAAGCCAAAATATGATCACATCAAAACATTCTGAATGACTGTTTACAATGATTTAACTGTATAAATTAAAAAAAATATATGTTGGACCTCTCCTTTAAGTATTGTGATATCTTTTTGCCATATTTTATGCCACTCTAAATACAGCTTCACCCTAAGTGCTTCTCCTCTACCTGACGATAACCTCTTCCCCCATTAATCTTACAAAAAGTCAGAACAGTGCTTGGATGATGCCCCAAATTTGAGAAAAATCTAGCAGGCTGAGCCAAGACTGCATGCTTCTAGTCTAAACACAATTCTGAGCATTTCTGGGAGTCATGTCCGGAGATTTTTTGGCACTTTCTTCGCTACATTTTAGTCAATAGAACCCTATAGCTACAAATAAGAGTAACCTTTTTTTTCACCCCTCCAGAACAAAAGCAAACGCCCTCTCACGAAAAATAACACAACCTCACGCGAGATGGTCAGGCTAGGGCTTTTGGAGCTCATTTTTCTAAGTCACTGTAAATGGTGGTTTTCATCAGACTTCCCCGCAACTCACCAGAAAGAACCTTCTGTCGAGGGAGCTCAGAGAGCACATAATTTACGTTGGACGTAGCCACGTAAATCAAATAAAACGCAAGGATTACTGACTCCATATAAAAGAGAAATAAATATTGATACTCAAGGCAATTCCCAAATTGAACTGAGTGGTCTAGTAAAATAATGACAATGATTTGTTCTAAGAAAAGACAGCTCTCCTGACTGACTCTGCAAAGTCTAACTGCTTTCAGAAAATAATAATTGTGCTCAAGTATATTTGAAACACAATGCCTGTACGAGGTAAAAAACTGCCCTCTTTCGGGCCTTCAGGCAAGGATGCTCCTGGGAAAATAACTAGAAATAACATTCGCCACAAACTGCACGTAATTAAATCGCATATGACCCAGAGTTCCCTCAAAATTTGACTCTGGTGTTTATTTTCTAAATGAGCACACCAACGTCACTAATTCGTTAGGGGATAAAGTTTGGATGGGCTAGGAATGTATTAATGCGATTATATACATAAAGACATTAGCTAATGTTGCCCTTAATAAGAGAAACTGAAAGGTTTCCAAATGAAACAAAACAGAACTCCCTTCACACAGTTATGGCTCTCCTGACAACAGGGCTGTAATGGACAGAGGAATGGATCAAGGGTGAAGCCTTATGTGGAGGGAGTATTAGGGGAAGTGGGAAAGTGTTCTGGGTCATATATTGCCTGGCAAAGGACGTTCAGTTTCTGTAACAGACTCCTTACACATGGAATATTTTAGAGTTTCTGTCTTACTCAGTTTAATTACAGCATTCCATGTAAAAACTCCTTCCACTGCTTTTGCACTCATTCACTATAAACATTCAAGCTGTGATGTTTAAAACAATCACCTTATTTGCATGTGAAATGTGTAAGACATGAAAGAGCAGCATGTATAATGAATGGACACTAGACACCTAGCATTTAATAGAAATAGAATTACACAGATTATTCAGAATCTCAGCATATCTCAATTGTTGAGATTTAATCAAAGTCAGAGGTATAATGTGAAATGATTAAAGAACATTTAAGATGTGAAGGAACTTAACAACTCAGATTTTCTTTACAAACCAGTGGTTTGAATGTTTTATTTACTATTCAAAACCAACAGTGAACCTACATGTGTTTTTAATTTGTAATGTTGATGTTGGTAAGTTGTACATTTAAAAAAATTAAATAAATATTTTGCCTTATAATGCCCTGCATGCACCACTCTAATTATCATAAAACAATATTTCTGGCATCATGCAAGGTATTTGTTACCATTTCTTATAAAAGCTTTTGGTTAGCCAGTCTTTAGAGGCATTAAAGGGGAATTGCAGTGATTTTTCATGTGCAAAATTTAATCATTATGATATAAACTATATAAACAGAGCGGCTTGATGCAAAATAATGCACTGGTACAACTTACCAACTCAGATTTTATTTACAGAGGTGGTGATAAGAATCGAGGGTCGTAATGAATACAATGTGAATACAGGCATTTTAATGACTACCCAAAACCACCAGCTAACTTTGAGTTTTTATATGAAATGTTGATAAAAGTAAAATTTTTGCCTTACAACACCATGCATGTACATCTATGTCATGGATGTATTAAAAAATAAGACACATTTTATGTCAAAACCTTCTTAAAACTATCATAAAACAATCATATAACTCTCATGTCCCAGGCATCAGGCAGTGAATGTAAAAGTATCTTGATCTCGCATAATAGCTTTCTGTGAGTTTGTTTAAGGGTTTAAAATGTCTCAGATGTCTGGCTCCTATCACCACCACTGTGAACAATTCTGCCTCTCCAGTCAGAAAGAAGCATTTCACATCAAACCACTCTGAATGCCTTTGTTTATATCTTAACAATTTAGCCATGCAGAAATTTAGAAAAATAAGTGGAAATCCCATTTAAATGCTTTAGAGGTCTGGTTCCTATCACCACTTCTGTGAACAGTTCTGACGGGTAAGTTTCTCTCTAAAACAACACATTTCACATAAAGCCACTATGCATGGCTTTGTATGGAACTACGCAGAAATGTGCAGAGAATTAAATCTATTGCATATTGTGCATTTCCATAGTTTGATAAAACACAGCAATCAAATATCTAATAATAATTTAATCAGTTGTGTTCAGTGCATAGTGAAGACCATATTATGTGCAGAAATATCAGTAAGTGATAATATAAATTTACCTTTAATTTAGGGGTGGTATTTCTGTTGCCCTGTTTAGATGTATCTGTCAAGCAGAAAAGAGAAGAAAGGAGGAAAAATGTGAAAAAAAGAGAGAGGAAGAATCAGTTAGTCCATTTTTATTTTTCACAAATGATATATGATGCATCATCCTCAGCTTAAGCTTCCACAGCCAAGTTCCCATATCACAATGAAGCTAAGCCACTAAGCCACTGAAAAACAGTGCAGGGCATTTTTTAAAAATCATGTCTCTTCACTGCAGAGAGCTGAGCAAGCCTGGGAGACCAGCTGGAGGTCCACTAGCGTGCAAGCGCTACTGTGTGGATGAGCCGAGCTTTATCTTCATCTCTGCACAGGGAAACAGTGTGGGTTCAGGTAAAGGCCTCTCCTCTCACATTCAGGTCACGCTCTTTGTTAGAGCTTTAATCAGGCATGAAATTTTGAACCTGAACCTAAATATAGCCTGAGAACATTCTGTCTGCATCTGACCCAAGTTTTCAATCCAAATCTGACTGTAGCCCAACAATTCTGTCAAAACCCACAACCAACAACCAGCAAACAAAAACCAACTAAACCTTCACATTTCTAATGACTGTATCTGTTGCTGTGTAGCGAAAATGAAAGCAGTCACTAAACAACAGCCTATTTAAAGCCTAAAATGATCTACATCCAGAACCTGTAATACCACATGGCCTCAATTAATTTCAACTAAGGTGAGCTTTTTTTTTTTTTTTTTTTAAGGCAGAATGTTAATAAATAGAAGGGCTCTTATTAAACAAAACCAAAATACGTTTTGGAAAAAAAAAAATAAAAAACTTAAATGTCCAAAACATAACTTTCACTCCCCAGTCCATATAGTCCACATATGGAAACTAAGCTGCAAAAAACTACATATACATATATTTATATCTATTTGCCTATTCAGCCTTCAGCAATTTAGCCCCATTCACAATGAAGTTATAAGAAGTGTTTCTGCCCAGACTGCTTTCTGAATGAGATAAATTACAGGATTGCCAATCAGAACAGAGACCATTCAAAGTCACAGTAACAAAACAGCCTGTTTAATTTTAAAGCTGGGCTTACACCACACAGCTTTTAATGCAATTTTAACCCTGATTTGTCCCTTCTTAAAAATCTTCAAAACCTGAAGCAATTTTCCAGGTTGGGAGCTAGGTCGAAAATGACTGACAGAGCGGATGATCTGATAGTGTGAGAGAGGAAATGATTACCTCTTTAGCCCTCCTGTCGAGCCGTGGAGTGAACGGAGGCGCTCCGATATTTTCAAACATTTGATTTTTTTAATTTTGACTTAAAATGTTCAATTTCAATTTAATATTCATTCCCAGTTTGCATTTTCGCAGCGCTTCTTGTGTGTGCATTAAATTAATACAAGGAAAAAAATAGGATATGCCCCCTTTAAAAAAACAAATCCTTAATAAAATCCCAAATAAAACTTGATGACCTTATTAAATAGTAACTTTCAGGATACAATATATGTAACATAAGCAGTACATCAAAGGCAGAAAAAAGTATAGTAAAAATCAAAATAAGAGGTGATCTACGGGATAATAAAGGCACAGTTAATTGACAGCACATGTGAGATATAAGATACAAGGATGTTTTGCATGTAGGTTAGACACCAGAAAAGCTCCAAATGCTAATAGTAACTAAGTACCTGAGTGTGTGTGCAGCCTCCCCTCTCTCTCTCTTTGGATCTGCTCTCGAATCAGCCTCTGCTCTTCCTGCAGCTGCCTGGAGCCTTCTTCTCTCAACCGGGCGATCTGCGCACACACACACACATATACACAGACTGAACTCAGTCAAGAGATGTGCTTCATTGCAAAAACACACACATGTAATGTACAGCATGTAAGCACAATGCAAACCAGACCTATATATGACATGCATATAAGAATTTCTGTAAATCCAAGCAGTACCACTAGTCCAATACATATTATCCTAAACCATGTGAACTACAGTAACCCTGAACTCAGTCTCTTAATATAGAACACTGCCACCTACTGTCTGTCACTGAATTAGGCCATGTCTAGAATCCCTAAATTCAAACCTACTTCAGCCCCATAAAGATTTAATTCATTCCCAAGTATGTATAAAATCGAATTAATTATTCACCTTGCAAGCGTGCATGTATATCACACATATGTATTAAAATACATATACATATATACACACACAGTGTATATATAAATATGAGTCAGTGAGAAATAAGGTTTTTAAAAATTACAAATCTTATTAAAAAGGACACTGTACATTTTTAGATCTGCACGTATATGTGTATTTACATCTGTGTGCATTTTATATCTTGTATATAGTTAGTATTATAAAAACTGTACAGGTCTGGCTGGTTGGCTGGACTTACTGGTTGTGCCATCTGACTTTTCAGACTAATTTCATATTAAACAGGCATCTAATGAGACACTGGTAGACATCTTTTACTTTTTTTCAAATACATTTTCAATTTTGTAAATAAATAAACACTATTATAATAATTGCCCATTTTCATGGTTTTTAAGAGGTCAGGAATATATACCCACCCACCCACACACACACACACACACACACACACACACACACACACAAACATGTACATACATACATACATACATACATACAAACAATTCCATGTGTTAGTTCTGTAGTTGTGTGACCAAAAAGTAAGGGCCCTGAGACACCAAACTGCCTGTCAGCTTTCAAATGCCATCAGGTGGCTGGTTGTTTACCACAATATTGTGCAGTACATATTGTTTACTTTGTATGTTTTAATCAGACTATTGCCAGCTTCTGCTACAGAGACTTGTTCCCTTTCGCACAGGCTCATAACGTACATGTGTTTTGGTTGTCAGCTGTAGGCTTTGTGGTATGTTCAAGCGGCAGTTCTCAAAGAATACTTGATGCAACGATAAGCTGATGGAAGGTTATCATCAGTCGGCCTTTGCTGCTGCTAGTTCTTACTCTTTGCCTAGATGTGTCTGGCCCTACATTGCTGCCTCTCTTCTAAAAATCTTGCAGGAAGCAAAAAGTAGTTTGTACCTCTTCTTCTAATGTGCGTGAGATTTTGAATTCCTCTGCTTCTTGAGCTTCTGCCTCCGCTTGCCGCTCACGGGCCTCTAAGTCTGAGAAGTAACACACACAAAACACAAAAGACACAAAATAGTCCAAATTAAACACAGTGCAAATGCATCCAGCTCTGTAAGGCACTCTGGGCTAATTGTATAATTTTGCCTGATCTTGTCTAATCCCATTAAACAGTACAGAGAGGGAAGGCTGTGTGGTTTGGCCACACTGAAGAGACAAAGTATAATTCACCTAGCTTGATCTTTTTCCTCTTGTCATCTAGTCTCCGTGTTCTCTCCTCAGCTTGTTTCTTGGCAGCACGAACCTTATCATAGGCAGCCTGTAGCAAATACAGGACAATGGAGAGATTAAACACAGAGTGAGATAAACTGGCTTTACTAAAACCCTTGCTTTATTAGCAGACAATATTCATGGCAGAACTGCCTTTTCACAAATGATTGCTACGCAACTTAAGTCGAAGCACAGCTAACAAATGATCCATTCCTAGAAATAAAGTTATGACAAATGTGATTGTTCCTCAATGTAACCTCTAAGTTAGTGAAAAATGAGTGTGGCCTACAGCTGTCAAAATTGTGTGAATGTGTGCATGTGTGCATTTTTGTGCATTTTTAGTACAAAAATGTGCAAGTGTAAGCTAAAATACCGGGACAAAATACTGCTGTATTTGTAAAGTGCTTTTTTTCTTTCACAGAAGGGCACAGACTATTATACCACCACTGTCCAGAAAAAACAAGCATCTCCAAAATGGTAAACTTACAGGAAAGAGGAAGGTTCTATACTTATTATGTAAATTTAGAGCATTTCTTTTGGTCCACTCATCGTGACATTTTCCCACAATGTAAAGGGCAGCTGCCATGCCCAAATGATATACAAAAGGAAAAAATGGGGAAAAAATGAAGACGTTTTTCTTTGGACAGCGATGACGTATATATTTTTACATGCAGTATTGCACAAAAGTCTTTACACACATATTTATTTGCTCAAAAAACACAAGCATTAAAAGACAAATGAACAAATAAACAATACATTGTGCTCTAATGTGTCTAGGTGTGTCAGCGTCATTTCCAAAGCTCTCTTCAAGGAAATCTGTTATTTACGGTCACCATCCAATACCTGCTTCAGCTAATCAATCCTTTATTCAATTAAACCAGGTGCTGCTGATGAAATTTAACAACTCTGTACAGTGAGAAGTCAGGAACCAAACCTGTAACTAACATATTAATAACTTTTTTTGAAAAAACATACATACACTAAGGCCCAATCCCATTTCATCCCTTGCCCCTACCACTTAGCCCTAACCCTCCATTTTGTGCATTCATGCCTAAAGGCATAGGGTGTCCCAACATTTGCTGACATAGAGGGGGAGGGCGAAGCGTGAGGGCTACATGGCCCTCTAAGTGGAGGTTTTTCAGAGGCACACTCCAAATGGAGTGTTATAAGAAGAATTGGCAAGAAATGTGAGCATTTTCTCCATTAAAAATTATGATAACCATTGTATAATTTTAGTTGTCATTTCCATGTATCATTGTCCTATTTTTCATAGTAAGCATAAAAAAAAAAATAATAAATCGCTGGTTCCACCTGAAAGGTGGCAGAACTGCTGCACCATTTAAGGTGGAACAGGAAAATTTGACTTCAGCTTCATATTACCGAAGAATTAGTGGTGGGCGATAATAAAAAGACTGTCACATAGGGGTAAAAATAAGAAATAGTATTGGGCCTAATATAACAATAAATACGAATTGTGGTAATATAATAAAAAGCAGTGATTTTCAAGATGTCATTACATTAATTTAAACATTTCCAAACCAGTTCCTTGTGGCAGCCCAGTGTTGTTTGTAATTAGCATCAAATAACAGGTTTTGCTAATTAGTTATTCATTAAAGTAAATCGGGTGTGCTTAATTGGAACAACTGGAACAATTCCATGCAATGGCTGGTGGCATCAAGGAGAAATCTAAAACCAATCCTGTGCTTTTCAGATTACCTTAGAAAACACTTTTTTGAAAACATGAAATTCTTGTTACTATTTACTGTCTTTTTGTGTTGTGTAAAAACACACTTACAGCTAAGATAAATGCCTTTAAAGATTTTTTTAGGTGCCTTTTGCACAATACTGTCTGTGTAGTATATACATGTGGAACATACTGTCAGAGACAAATCAAGTCAGTTAAGTGCACATTCAGGTCCAGTCAAGAGTGTGTCCGAATCAAATTGGAAGTGGCATGTCGGAGTGGAGTCACGAGTCAGTTAAGCATGTGTTAGAGTCCCGAGGCATGTGTCAGTGTGCGTCCCAAGTTGATTCATGAGTCAGTTCAGTGCGTTGGAGTGGAGCCACAAGTCAGTTTAACATGTGTCTGAGCTGCAAGTCAGTTAAGTGTCAGGCCTGAGTCCAGCCAAAAGTAATTTACGTGAGTCGCAAATCATTCAAGCACACGTCAGTTGTGTCTCGAGTCAGTTAAACGTGAATCTGAGTCAGTAAAGCGGGCGTCCAAGTCGAGTGCAAATCAGATACGCGCGAGTCCGAGTCGAGTCACAAGCCAGTTAAGCACGAGTATGAGTCAGGTAAGCGCAAGTCCAAGTCAAGACACGAGTCAGTTAAAGTTTGAGTCAAGTCGTGAGTCAATGAAGCGCGTGCATGTTGCGAGTAAGTAAATATGCGACTCGAGTATGACTTAAGTTCAAGTCGCTGACTTGAGTCCCCATCTCTGGCTCAGCATTGCATAAAAACGTGTGTGTGGTGGTTAGTTTCTCACTGCTGACTTACCCTGGCCGCTGCATCAGTCAGCACCTCGAGGGCCTGTGAGAGCTGGTGGAAGAGCTCGGCTGCGTATGACAGACAACAATGAACAATCACAGCAACTATTAAACACAGACCCGGTTTATGGTGAGGCTTAAGGACAGTCATGCATGTGTGTCTTCTTCGCACGAAAGAAGAAACCATGAAACCTGCATTCAAAGCTCCACGTTTGACTGATGGTTACCCAGCAAAGGATGGTTGGGGATGGGATTGAGAACAGAGAAATGTTAGTATATATATATATATATATATATATATATATATATATATATATATATATACGCACATACATACACACACACATTATATATATATATATATATATATATATATAAACAAATAAGAGAACACAAATGGTGATGTCTTCACTGAGGCTTAATAGAGTTACCTGCCCAGGACTTTTGCATGCATGTTCATAGCTGAAAGAGGGATATTAAATAATTATAATGAGAGGGTTCTGTACTCTAGGCAATGACTTTGTGAGGGGCTCCCGTTAACCCACGTTTCCGGCGTTAAAACAAGAGCGCTTGGAGTCTCACGAAAGCTGTTTCCTCTAATGACAGCCTGCCGCTTTTCCCACGTAAACCTGGAGGCCCCCTGCCGCAACTCCTATTAAGTCCTCTGGAGGGGCCGCTGAGACAATCAAGGGTTCCACGCAAGCCCACTCTCTTGCAAGTCCTTAATGACTCACTTCTGGCACAAGCGCCATTTCTCTTGCCCACTAACAAGCATCTCCTATTTCCAGTTTCTCCTGGAGACAAACGGGCAGCACGCACATCTGTCCAGCTGCTGTAGTTTCAAAGGTATCTGCACTGTAAGAATTCTGGGGACTCTGCCTCTAAGCTGATTTCTCCATGGAAAAAATGGAATGATGTTTTTGAAAAAAACACAGCTATCGCAACGTGTGGTAAACAAAACTGTTCCAAATCTGATCTGTTTCGCCATACAAACATTTTTCCTCCATATGTCACTGGATCCTCTTAATTACAAGGTTGTTAAAGAGTCAAAATACAAATCTTGCTACATGCAAGCTAACACTGCTGCACATTAAACTGAAATCAGAAGACTGGAAAGCTCACCAAAATACCCTATGTAAAAAAGCCAGTTTTGTTAAATATAGTACTTAGGTTGCTTTGGCAGTAGCAGCCTACAGTTTGAGTGGCTAGTGTCAGAATATATTAATGTCTGACTCTTTATAGACGGAACATATTTTTGGCCAAGCTTTAGCGACCTGATTGATTACATTTAAATCAAGAAAATAAAAAAAATTACAGAAAATCAAGTAAGCTTTATTAATATTGCTTTGACTGTGATACTCAGACATTAACCGTTGTCTCCAGTTTCTATTTTTCTGTTCTCATGGTGGCAAATGTGAGTTTAATAGCAGACTTACTTATGTGTAGCTTGCTTGTAAGCATATATGTAACATTATTAGTATTTTGATATAAACAAGTTTGTAGTTCAGAGGATCCTGACATTCGAAAGCAGCATTCTTATTCACAGAGTTATTCATATAAGTATGACACCAATGACACATGACGACAGAATGAGGCACGATTTCAGAGTTCTGTGCCAGCTGACCCTTATTCTACAGGGAGATTCACTCAAAAGAGGCCCTGAAAATTCTGTAATAACTCACAATAGAACGAAGCAATCTGAACGAAGCAACATGCAATGAGCTCCTCAGTATATGGAGCTCTGAACAAGCAAGGATGCCCCTGCGTCGGAGCGATGAGGTAGGCGCCGGACAGCTGGCGCAACGTTTAACCTCTGTTTGCAACTTCCAGGTGCATACCCTCGTACCCCTTCATGTGTCTGGCAGAAAACAGAGATCACTTCCAGCATCGCATGTAATGCAATCAACACTTACGTCAAGGTATGTAGCGTATTTTTTTTTGGTTCAGATTGCTTCATCCTAATGGGAGTTGCAACATATATATATATATATATGTTTTATGACCACTGGACTGGTAGAAAAGGTCTAAAATTCTTCAAATAAAATCAGTTTATGTTAACTTACAATAAAAGCAGAGATGCCATATGAGTATTGAGTTGTATCAATATTGAGCAGACATCAGCAGATGCTGAATTGGATAAAAAAATGAAATAATCTGATCCAATCCTGTAACAAATCTATCCTGAAACAGTATGCCTAAGGTAAGTGACAGTAGTACTGGGAATCGCTGACAGATTCCATCTATCGTGATTGCCAATCAAGCTGGACAATTTAGTAATGTTTGTCTCAAGCTTTCATTTCTTTTAGAGTGTTTTCTTTTAATATGTAGTCATATCAGTCTAAATATGTACATTCTGTAGCAGTGCAAGGCAGCACTTTTTTATCACTGTGTTATTAATAGGCTAAAAACAGTAATAAGAGGCTACAATACAGTAAACTAAAGCTACTATTAAAGCTACTAAATCTGGCCTTGAAGTCAGCTACTATAGGCTGACTTCAAGGCCAGATTTAGCCCTTTAATTATTTTTACAAGAAGCAATTTATTAAACCTAGAGCAAAACTACGAAACCATGAAAAGAATCAAGTTTGCTTACAGGTTTCTGAGTAGAACTCAAGCGTGTTTATTTTCTCTGGTTTAAGCAGGCTTAACCTGCTGTGTTGAAATGGGTTACTGGATAAAGGAGCCACAGAAATTACTTGGAATAAAATTAGGTGTAGAATTATGTATAGTTTTCTTGTAAGCATGTATGTAGCATTATATGTATTTCTATTACTACTAAACAAATCAGTCAATATTTGCAGATCTTTTATCAGAAAAACACGCTCACATGGTGTGCTGGCAGAGCAGGAAACAGGTATTTTGGAAAGTGGCTCTCACTTGCCTGCCGGCATCAGTATTGATCAACATTCAAGGTTAGAATATTGATATCAGTACCAAAAAAATTGTATTGTCACTTCTAATTAAAACTTTTTTCCATTTCTTGTAAAGTTACTATTCTTTAGAATCAACGTCAGGACAGCGATTATATGTAAACATTTCAAACAAAAAATGACAAATGTGTACAGTGAAAGTTCAACTGTAGGTCAACTATAGTATGTTAAATTACATACATAAGGCAAAAAAATTATTATGCTAGCTACATGCAATACATAAAAGGTTAAATCTTGAATGCTGTCTTTTTTAAATTCATAACATAAATATCGTTTATAAAATATTCTCATTGATGCATTCAAATTCTAGCTAATTCTTTAAAAAATATTGGCCAGTCAAACAACAAATATGGTTAAAATGCTCAAACAAACTGCTAAGACCATCAGGGGTTCCATGCAAGCCCCCTCTAGAGCCCACTCTCCTGCAAGCTCTTAATGACTCGCTTCTGGCACAACCACCATTCTTCCCCACTAACAACTTTCTCCCGCTTCCAGAAGATGGAGAGGCAGCACGCACATCTGTCCAGCTGCTGCAGTTTGAAAGGTACTTGCGCTATCAGAACGTGTGCTAGGGGAAGAATGCGCAGTTAGCATGAGGCTGCCTGGGCCAGCCTGGGGCATCAGTTGCGTATAGTGTCTAAACGCGACGGGAGGTCTCCAGCACAACGTGACCTTTGCCTCACCCCCTTCTCAGTTTTCTCCCCATCCGTGGCTTCCCCTTGTCGTGTGAGAGCGTAAATAGCATGCATGTGAGGCCGCGTACTCCACAGCCTTCTCAGTTTTCGCTTCTAGGAAAGCCAGCCTGTCTCGTTCAGCTCTGAACCCCTATTACCCCCTCGTTTGCCTCCTTTTCTGACTTAATCAGGATTCAGCTGCAGCGTCCAGAGACCACGAAAGCCTCAATCAAAAACATGCCACATGGCTCTCCTGTCTAAGGTGCAGATCCACTTTTTCTAACACCGAATTATGGTTCCAGGCCTATTGTGTACAGTCGTGGGATGGACCCAGGGGAGCCACAGGGGGGGTATAAGAGAACCCGCCTGGCTAGATTTGTCTCAACCGCTGACCACCGTAGCTCCAGGCCTTTATGAGAACGATGGCTGGGGTCAAAGGCAAGAATAAGGCAGCCTGACTATGCTGGAATGGCTCCATAAGCTTTCAAAACTAGCAAGAATTGGAAAAGCAAAGCATCTCAGAGACACACTTTCTTTATCCATGCATAGTGATCAAGCAAACTTTCAAGTCTGGATTTTATTATCATTAATTTAATAAAGGTTCTGCTAATTGACAAAACTGCTACCTAACTTGCAAACAGGTGTTCTTTATCCCGCAGTTTTAGAATGGCACAACATTACACACTTAGATCCGTCAACCAATGACAGCCCTTTCAATTTTCTCCCAATGTTAGTCGTAGCCAAGACCCATCTGTTGCAAGTTTATCCTATTAACAGGTCTCAGACAACAGCTCCAAAACTGAGAAGGACTAACACAAACTCGCTCCATGACATGTGCAGCCATCTATTCAAGCTGTTTTTCATGTAATGTCTAAGTATATATATATATTCACAGGGTTGACTTAATGTGATGTCATGGATCCTAAGAAAACCAGAAAAGTTCTAAATTCTGACTGATGCTATAACATGTTTAGAAGGCAGTTTCTGACATCAGTTGGGAGCCAACACTTAGAAAGCAAAAAAGGCCGCCAGTAAATCAGCAAACTAACAAAAACGAATAACTGTTAATCAGGGGTGTAACAATTCTAGGGCTGAACAATATGGGGAAAATATCTAATTGCAAATTTTCTGACCAATATTGTGATTGTGATTTAAATGCAATTCTTTTTATGAATCAAGCTCCAGGCCATTTGTTCCTCAAGAAGATCAGCATATCCATTTTTTTGTGCTTGAGGGTGGAATGCTTAATGCAGTGTACCAAACTGCCAGTTTATAAGCTCTGTGTTATTAGACTGAATTTATCCACTTAAGACTTGCTAATGCAACGTGAAATAGCATAGAATAATTTGATTTAAATTGCGGCTCTTGCAATTTCAAAATTGCACTCTTCAAATTGCGATTTTGATATGAAGCATTAAAACAATGCATTGTGACTCTGTGATATCAAAACTGTGACATTGTGCATGAGGCTATTGTTTGTGCTGTAACCTAAAAAGGTAAACCACAGCTTTACATTCATTTTAGCCAAAATCTGTTTTTTTTCTTCTGTGCCATTAATTAAATACGATAATTAGTTAAAATGCACATCCTCAAAATAAATTTCATTACAAACTCAGTAAAATCTCAAAAGTCATGGCCGTTTCCTCCTTTTTAGAATAGTTTTGCACTGCACATGAAGGACTGTGGGTTCCGAAGAACACACCAGTCTTTTCTCAGAAAAGAAGGACATGACTTGGCCACATTCAAAGGATCCTACAAAACAGGATCCTTCAGTAATGTAACGGCTGCGAAATGCAGCCTTGCTCTGCATCCTTGGCTTTGAGACCCAGCTATTTTGTCCGACTTGTGTCAAGACCTACGTCATGATGACATACACCATTATGATCTTGCAGGTGTGAGTAAGCTGCAGTTTTCTGAGCCAGGCACTGCAGTTCCTCTCCTCCCAGCAGCACATGCTGAGAGGTGGCTTGATGAGCTCCAGACATGCTCTAACAACAGTGTTGTAGACACAAACTGCAGTGAACAGGGGTGTAGTGATTCTGAAACCAGCACTGAAACACAACATTAAGGACAATTTGCTGGCTACCTGTTTTCAGTATTGAAATTGTGCAGAGTAAAACAAGGCCATGAGCTTGAGCAGCGATACAACAAACCTTACACTCCAATTAATAAAAAAAAAAAAACACTCCAGGACTTTCCCTGCTGTCACCAGGACATTCCGGTTCTCAAAAGGATCAAAAGACATTACTACTAGCAATCGTCAATAAGATTCAAGGAAAGGAGTTCACGAAACTGTGTAATTAAAGTGACACTATATCCTGAGACTCGGATATACATTTTTATCTTCAAGCATCTGCAGGAAAAAAGCACTTCAGCTGAAATTTACAGGCTTAAGCCTCGCTATTTTCTTCATAGGGTGGAGCAAAAGTAAGTGCAAGTGGTATTGATGTGATGATGTGGCTCTGGTTCAGTAAACAGTCAGCTATATCTGATTAACTATTAACTGAGCAACACTTCAGTTTTGTTTTTTATAGAAAGAAGACCACTGCTTGCCCTCTTGTCTATTGGCTGATGCTTTCGAGGTTTGTTTTTCATGGGGTTAAAGTTTACCTAGATGAACTTGGCACAAAGTGTAATTTAAAGCTATCAGACGCAAATTAATTTTTCATGTTCTTGCATCCTTTCCGAATGAAGAGAATTGGCTTTGTTTTACTTGTGTTTGGTGTGACTGCAGGTTTACTGTTTTAAGGGATTAAGTTGGTGTTAAGAGGTTAAAATTTTTTGCAGCAAGCTGAGGAATACATTTAAAAACATGTTTTATTATGAAAAATAAGGACACTTGTGAGGGACATTAGTAGTTTTGTGTTGGATGAATGACAGAGGATGATATGCCAATATGTAAATTTGTCAGAAATATCTTGTCACTATTTGTAGAACTGGCTTTCTAGTTAGCAATACTGCCACGTTGCCTGTGATTTTTCTGTCTTGTCCTTAACACGTACACTTTCAGGCACTTGTGTTTTGGCATGGCAAAATGTCATAATCTCTCACAAATACGCACAAAAACATCTAACAGTCCTGTTAAAACATAAAATCAGTATTTCATTGAATTGTTAGATGTGTGTTAAGGACACAACAGTGCACAGTTGTATATAGCCAAACCATTCGGGGCGCCCCCTATGGTTTATTATGCACACAGAAACTGTGGTATTACGATATGCCTGTATTTTCCTATAATTTCCAGAACTTGCTTATTGCACTGCAGACTACACATACATTGCACATTCAGATCCACAGATCATCTCTGGAGCCTGTCAGAATTTTTCTGGAGCCTGTCAGTGCTCAGTATGCAAATATGAGCTGGAGAAGAGAGGCAGAACTATAAAGAAACATTCTCTCAGCTGCAGTGTGACAATGTCGAGTGTTAGCAAAAGAAATTAAAGCCACTGCCCAACAGACACACCATGTCGCGTCACACAGTGTCCAATGGATGTCCGCATACCAGCACTGACACTCCGGGTCAACGCACCCAGGTACTCAGGACTCCATCGGCCAGTCTTTTAGGTAAACAGACAAACTCTAAGGGTAAGCTCAGCTAACATTACTATCCTAGCCTTTTTCAGCTCGTACCTTTCAGCTTGAAAGCATCCACATTGTGAAGAGATAGTAAATGGATGCAAAGCCTGATAAGTCATTCTGAATGCTTTATTCATTCAATCTATATAAATAGAGTGTAACAATGAATTTTAGCCTGGATATTATCAGCTCTCCCTACTGGCATTCTAGAGCAGCACTCTGCGTGTCCGGTGTGCGGTGGCCTTTTCAATGTCCCCTCCCGCACACATTCAGCAGCAAAGTAATTCTCAAACTTTATGAAACATCAACGAGAGAAACTGAAAATGAATTGACACAGGCACTCTATCTAGCTTTCTTTAATTATTTAAAATAGAAAACGAAAACCACCTACAGCTTGATCAAAGCTTATCACTCAGCCCTATAGTGAAGTCTCAAACTGAAATGGTAAACTGGTTATCACTGGAGAATGGCAGGTCAAGGTACTTTATCCAGCATGCCTAGCAATTTGGCAAGTAGCTGTAACAACCTTTTGAAAACCATGTGCATAGCCCTACATGCCACCACATATCAACAGCAAAGCCTGTTTTATTAAAGTTTCAAACATGTTTGAGCAAGATTATCAACGGCTGCAGAGCTTCTGACTTGGCTTTCTTATGGGAATCTGAGGAGTGGGTCCAGCCACTGAGAACTAGACTATACTTGTGCCTACTATCTTGCATCCGAAAGACAACGTATCCACTTTTCTATGATGTTTATGAACATAACACAACGGAAATCTAAACCTCCTGTTGAAGTTAACTATAATTGGTATTCAGAAGACTTCCCTTGTTTGAATGATAGATGGGGCTGTGGGAGGGAGGGATGAAACATGACATTATTGGTTAATGGCTGGTGCATGATGAAGTAATCAAAATCACAGGAGGTTTTCAAAAGTCACTACACGTCAATCAAACATTACAAGAAAAAAAAGTGTCATTTTTTCTATGATATGGTAGGACAAATTGTATTTAATATGTCCAGGCACACGAACTCACAAGGTAAAAAAAAGGTCCATTTTGATTTTACGTTGACTCCAAATAAAAAAAAAATGCTAATTAAAAAGTCATATATCACACACTCACCAGCCTTTGGGTTGTCTGGGTTCTTGTCTGGATGGCAGGTTAAAGCTTTCTGTCTGTACGCTTTTTTGATCTAAAGGAGAAAAAGAAGATTGAATGTTATTCAGCGTGGGGCAAGTGCGGTTACAAAACAGTACTCTTTTGCGCTTGATTCGATCATAATAACATTAATTACTCCCTTTAAGAAGCAGAAGTCCCATTCCACATCATTCTGCTCTGAATGGCATGTTCATGTCTTATCACAATATCAGAAAACTTACGGACTGCTTTTCTTGAGACCAGTCCAAGCCACTGTATGCTTTTTGGCAAATGAGATTGTGATAAAAATTCAGTCTCTATTGTTATTCATGCAGTTACTGGCAAGAACAGCAAAGAGCACAAATCTACACAAGGGGAGTATGGAGGGAGGGGTGATGGTCCCCTGGAAAACATAACACGAAAGGTTATGAAAGTTTTGAAACAATAGGTGATGGAAAGGGTTCACCACAAGTTAATAGTTCCATGAGTCAACTCAGTGTTACTTTTTTTATGTGCTTAACATTGCTGTCAAGGGATGCACCTCAAAGTGGGTTTGACAGAAGACACTGTTACACACAAAATCGCTGACCACTTTAGCTCCAGCTAACAACAACAAATACTCTTTCACAAAAAAACAAAGGCATAAGCTTTTTATAAATTGGGCCACAATTTTAGACAAAACTAACCAAGTATTGTAATTGTTAGGAAGCAGGTCACTCTCATGCAACCTCAAAACACGTACATAAATAATGAAGTGTCATAAGCATTATGCAGATAAATAATATTCATTTCATTTAGTAGATCCACTGGAGCTCTATATGGAACAGCAAAAAGTTTAAAGAGTTAAGTTGTCTATTTTAAAGTTGGTTTTTTTTTTTACCCTAATTATCGGAATGTGTCCACGTCTTTACCAATATTTGGTTCATTTTTTTAATTGGAAAAATGAGTTCGCATTACTTTTAACAGTTAAATCTCTTCAGTGACTTCCTTGTAAACTATAGAGATGTGAACCTAAACAACAAAATATTATGTGGCACAAGTAATCAAGTAAGTGGTAGTCAATGCATGGCCATTTCACAAAGCCTCTGACGCACAGTTCTTGTGCTTATGTTGCTTCTAGAGGCAGTTTGAAACTCTGTTGAGCGTGACAGTCAATTTTCAAGCGCTATGCATTACTTCGTGGCCCTGTTCAATGAGTTTGCGTGGTCTACCGCTTCGTAGCTGAGCTGTCGCTTGTCCTAGATGTTTACATTTCACAATAATAGCACTTACAGTTGACCAGGGCAGATCCAGCAGGGCATGAACTAACTTGTGGCAAAAATGGCATCCTATGACAGTGCCACGTTTAAACTCACTGAGCTCTTCAGTACGACCCATTCTGCTGCCAATCTCTGTCTATGGAGACTGCATGACTATGTGCTTTATTTTAGACACCTGTCAGTAATGGGTGTGGCTAAAACACTAGTGTGTGTGTACAGGTGTAAACTATTTAATTTGACAACTACAGTTACAATTAACGATATAAAAAAATTAATAATTTACAGATTTATCCTTAAACCTTACTGTGTTGTGGTCATGAGAAATTGGTCACTTAATTTGCCCTTGACCCTCATGATACTGCTGTGTGCACAGACTTAAACTATTTAATCACAGCTATTGTTTCACCTGCTTTTCCCCTTTTCTGTATTTTAATATTTTATGCTAAAGTAAAACCTTATTCTCTAAAAACTGCTCTTGTGTTATGGTTTTGCTATCCAATGTCAACAAGAGGAGGATGGGTTCCCCTTTTGAGTCTTGGTTCCTCTCATGGTCACTTGCTCTTGAGGAGTTTTTCCTTGCCACTGTCACCACTGGCTTGCTCAGGGAGGCTTGGACCCGGATTTTTTTTGTAAAGCTGCTTTGTGACACTACCTGTTGTAAAAAGCGCTGTATAAATGAACTTTGACTTGACTTATTTTGAAATATGTTACTAATACTCCCATTATTTTAAGGAATTTGGACTGGTCTTTATTTACAAAGTTAATAGCATGCTTTTGATTAGAAGATGTCTTCTGCTAGGCAGAAGAGGCAAAGCCCACTGAAAGCCCACAGTCTGAGTGAAGTAGTTCAGAGAACTGTTCCTTCACTGGTGCCTGTGGTGAGGATGTGCAGTCCTGCGGCTCTGCAATCCCCTGCATGCTTTACCCCTCATGTCTCCATTTCTGAAGCATCAATCAAGAGGATCCCTCAGACCATTCTGGGCAATTTACACAAAGTACAGAGCATCTAGGAACAAAAAGGCACAGCCTAATGCATCCTGCTGTCATGTGTATTTCGGTACTAAACAAAATTTAGCAGAACATTACATACATAGTACAGTGCATAAGTCAAAAACCACACTTTCATTTATTAGATTTCCAGTCAAAATGGCCATTAAGTACAAGTTAATAATTTTTCAGCAAATATTTCTGAGGAGATTTTTTTTTGGAAACTATCTTTGAACTCATTCCAAAAGAAAAAAAAAGAGTTCAAAAAATTACTAAAAGATGTAGAAAAAACAATCGTGCAAGACCTGGTCAATCACCAAAAAAACAGCACCTAAAGCTTTCAGGTAGGAGAAAATTAAGCTCCACTCTTGCTTCAGATCTGAAAAAAATCCACAGATATTTCCATCCATCCTTCCACTGTGAGAAGACAACTCAATGCTATGGGTCTAACACAACTGACATTCTCAGAACAATGGACTGACCATCCCAGAGTCCAGACCTAAACACAAGTCTCCTGAAAAGAATGGACGCTGTAATAAAGGCAAAGGCTGGACACACTAAACAATAAAAAACTTGATATTTCATTTAGTTGTTGAGACTTTTCTGTAATTTTCTGTTGAAAATATGTTTTCTGCTTTTTTCCTGACACTGAGAAATGAATAACTTGTACTCAATGACTGTCTTGTCTGGAAATAAATAAATGAAAAATGGTATTTTTGACTTTTGCATGGTAATGTAGTTAATAAAGATAATCCATACTGTACTGACAGTCATATAAGAACGATCATTCCACATTAGTGCCTATGGTCTTAATGTATTGTGCATGGTCCAAGAGACTGTGTAGGAGTGCTGTAATGGATCATGATATTAAATACTACATAAAAAGCTATTTTCACTGTGGCTGTATTTCATGCTGTTTGTTTTATTTGTTCCAATAATCAATATGCTATTTGAGGCTATTCTTTGGTTGTCTGATATCAAAGCTGGTATTAGTACTAAAGGCAAAAGACCTGAAGGTATTCAATGCAAATGCATCCACACTGTCAAAACTGGATCATAAGTGGGGACAGTTTTGGCTGTAGCTGCCATACAATTAGCTCTGCTGCATGTTATTCCTCAGAAGCACAAGAAGAGCCTTCCAGAAGGGATGACGACTGTGCAGCAGAAAGGAGAACCGCGACTCCCTCAAGCTGGAAGGAGAGAAACACACGTGTGCCTTTATCCTAATAATCGCTCCAGTCATGGTTCAGTTGGAGGGCTTTCCGAAACTAAACATCATTAGTGCTCGCCGGCCTGTCCTGCCGCCTAGTACAGGAAAGCTTCCAGCAGAGACACACGGAGACCTGCTTCCCTCTCTACACTTACTTTCTTTCCTTCTGCTCTATAAACTGCTGCTCTGTTGCTGTCTTCTGAGGAAAAACAAAACAAAAAGCCACCCTTTTTAAAGCAGACGGAGTTATGATGTGTATCGCACTTCAGAATCATTTTTCTCTCTTCTCAGACAAGGTCCAGAAGAGCACGGCCCATAAGTTTACCCTAGGTTCAATTTAACACCCATAAGGCAAGAGACCTAATTAGATTTCCTGTCAGCTTGAGCCTCTGAAGCTGAGCTTTCAACATGAGGTTTCTGAGCACTTGCAGATGGATTTAAATACTACTTGTGTGAAAAGGAAAGGCGATAAGCTCAATGTGTCCTGGCATGTTATCAAGATAAAAGATAATAATTCATAAAAAATTAAAGAGCTCAGGCTCTGAAGTAGCAAGCAAAAAACTTTGACAAAGATATTAAATGTTACATCGCTTAAGCACTGATCACCAGTATTTACTACTCCATGTAGTCTTGACAATGCAGGGATAGAAAAAAAAAATAAGAAATTAAAAAATGATGTTGACATGAATTAGCCCTAAAGGCAGGTAGACAATAGGTCCCAGCCGTTTATACGGGCTAATATCTAGATCCCACACATTAGTTTTGGGCGATATACTGTCTATACAGATAGCCTATATTGTGATAACGCTTTTCAGTTTTAGGATATATTTGACAGATAATGAGAGGTTTGTTCATAGTTGTTTATTATTACTTTTGAGTAACTTTAAAAAAGAAACCAGAATATTACATTCAAAACAAAGCAAGCTACAGTATGTCAGGTTTGTAAGACATTCTTTTAACACAGATTAGGCTCCGGGGCGGGCGATATGGCAAAAATATTATATTGCAATACTTTTGACGATACACGATACGTATCATAAAATTTAGCTTTTCTGGGATTTAATAAGTTGGAACAGACTAAATAGAACCTGCAGTGCCATTTTTACAAAATACTATAATAATGATTAACTTACAACTACATAGATTTTTATCCAATATTTTACAAACTGCACTGCACAAAATCCAATTAAACAGGCCTAATTATGCTCACTTTGTGATTAAGCATGTAGCTTCTCAGTTTTTTTATGTACTAATGATAACCACGATACACTCAGAAAAGCACACTGTTACATAATTTATCTTAATAAAATATTGTCATATTATCTCTATTTGGGTCATTACATGTATTAATGCAAACTTAAATATCATATGACATCATGATATTCTGAAAATACTATTTTCACCTTACAGTGAAAATCAAGCCAACAAAGCACTGACATACAGAGGTGTGTTTTACAGTGTAACAAACGCTATTTCTTTCATTTTTGTATTTTTCCCCAGGTTTCTCCTTAATTTAGTTGTGTCCAGTTTCACTATCTATGTCTCCTCAATCACATGATGCTGCCATCTACCACATGCTTCCTTCAAGTCATGTGAAGCCAGCCACTGCAACTTCTTGAACTGCCACCAACACATCACTGGACAGCTCAACACACTTGGAGGAGAGCGCTAACTGCCGGTTGTGTTATGTTAGCTACAGATGCCTTCATTGACTGGCACTGTACTGTGAAGGGGGAGGTGGAGGGCCATCCTACTCACCCAGCTACCGGTCACTGTAGCATCACCAGGGACTGAATTTGCAATCTTCTGATGACAGGGCCAATGCTTAGACAGCTGCACCTTTCTAATTCGGCCATCGCCAAAAATTATTGTGCGTTACAAATTACAGTGCTTCCTCAAGTAAAACTAATCCAAATGCAGCTTAAAAATGGTTAATGTTATGTGCTCAAACAGTTCTGAAAGTTTTGTATTGAAATCTCAGAAAGTGACTGACACGCACAAAAAAAGCTGACAAAAGGATACAGAAGTCCAGCATGTTATGACATACAACTTGCACCAGCAACAAGGGGGGAAGATGACCCAAACAGATTGTGGTCAATTTCTGCATACTGTTAGAGAATCTTGCAGGCATTGTACCTGGACATAAATATCAATATCGCCACATAGTGTTGCCAAGGATTTTTAGCAGACCTAGACCAAAGTCAGAGGATTGTGATAAAAACGTATTTATCCGACTTACATTCTGCAAAGCAAACACAAAAATAAGATCCTTCTGGTATTATAGCAATGTAGCCATTAGAGGACAAGCTGAGCTCCAGACTGGGTTAAAACACCCTTAAAAACGTTTCCCATCAATAATAAATTACCAGCAGCTGTTAAGACGAAATAAAATAGACTTGCCTTTTTTCTGTGGCCACAAACAAATGCAACCAAACAGCCTGGAGAGTTAATATGCTAACATGTGTCTTTTATAGACTGTGTGTCTCTCATAGCGGAGTTCCTAAAACCATCAACAAACCATTCCTCTTGGCTTACTTTCTCTGGGCTATTTAGCGATTTCATTCTTTTTCCCCCTCATGCCCACAACCACCCACAACCACCTTCTTCCAGAGGACATCCTTCAATAAACATGAAGATTTAATTACAAAACTGAATCAATCTCAACAGGTCACATTACAAAAGGAGAAGGATAAAATTAAATGTTTAGGTTTTTTCCCCAGCAAGAAGTGAATTAATATCCAATAGTTAATACAAAATCCCTCTGTCTAATACAAACATGATAACTGGGGCACAGTCTATGTAAGACTAAGATCTATATTAATTATTCCAGCCAGTAAACAAATAACACCACATTGAGCCCTTCATTAATTCCATTAAACCTTACAATAAAACATAACCTACACCATCAACTTAACTGAGCTCATAGAGGCTAATAGCAAGAATGATGATTACCACAAGAAGTTTCCCTTTCAACCTTTCATTTGTGTATAAAGTGCATACCACGCAAACTCTGAAAACACCACTGCAAAGACAATCAGAGCAAAGGGTCAACTGAACACTGACAGTCTCTGGCCAAATGTCTTCCCTGCATTCGCCATGCAAAATCTACATTATATTAAGTGATAGCAGCTGATAAGAGGTATTGAATTAGGGCTGTCGTTATCAATTATATTATTAGTAATTGATCAATCTACCCATTATTCCAACAATTAATCAAGTAATTCTTTTTTTTTTACTTGTTTGTTTTTCAAATAAGGCCAAAAATTAAAAATTAAGGCTTCACAGATTCCAAAATACTTTAGTTTAGTACAGATAAACTAAAAAGCCTTGACAAAGACCTTATTTGAAATGAATAAATACATGAAAACACTATGTAGCAAACAACACACATAAATGAGTCAATCAGGCTCCGTTTTATACTGAGAAAGACAAATTCTAAAATGTGCATTATTATAAAATTTGCTTGGACATGCGGTTTGTACAGATGATACTAAGAGACCAGGTCAGTATAGAGGGTTAGGAATTATCAGAATAATACAAGTAAACTGTCTGACCTGCTCTAATGTGCTCTCAACATTCTGAGAACATCATCTCCATCCTTATTCATTTAATCATAGAACAGTTTTTTTGAAACACAATCACTGCACAGCAGATTTTACATCAGTGGTACAAGACCGCCACCTGTTGGCCATGTTGATAGAAATGCATGTCAACAAGAGATGGATGCTTTACAGCAGGGTGTACTGGATTACTGGATACAACTGGATTCCTTCCAAGCTCCAGTTCAGAATAAAGTCTGATGCACAGGGATTCCCTTCTCATAAGACCAGAGAGTCTTTTTAACCCCTTATACTCCCCTATGTAGTATTCTGATGATGTCACAAACGTCCTGCTAATTTGGTAGCCATTCAGCGGTGCTGTGGCTGTCTATAACGAGGCAAAGCCATAGCCAATCCAGCAAAGGCAGTAAAACACTTTTTAAAGCACTTTTTTTAAATTGTATTTTTAAAGCATATCAACCAATATACTTCAGTGTACTTTGATTTCATTTGATTTGTTGTACTGATAGCAAATGAAAGCTAAAAGCTTAACAGCTGAGATTTCCCACTGTGTTACTAGTGCTACATTTCAAACCACAGAGTAGCACATTACATAGTATGTGCAGTACCATCAGAAATGCACTTATCAATGTAGTAGGTAAAGTACAGAAGTGTATGGTTTGGGGCGCAGCATTACATCAACCACTAAGATGCATTCAACAGTCTAGCAGCTCCAGTGGCTGATTATAGCTTTGCTATTAAATGTTTCCAAGCAAAAGTTTAAGGTATTTGTTAATTAATGACACATTTAATGAGGTAAATTAATGTATTTATTGAGGTATGCTTTGTTTGCCAGCTTCTTTTTCTAAAATTTGTCCCATGTTTAAGGCACTTCAGTGTAACTGCAGCACCATTTAAGGTGAAACAGAATAAGAATTTTATTTGAATAAGAAGCTGGCAAAATAAGAAGCTAACATCAACTTCATATATATGTATGTGTTTACTATTTAAGACCTTTGACAGGTTTGGTAGCCATTTGTATTCGTTTTTGTAAAATCTCATGCATTAGAATTTTCTGAACTTGAGAGGTGTGCAATGTATACAGATCCAGTCCACCAATCTAGCTAAACTTTTCCCCATTGTGTTTTCTGAAAGTCTGCATCTAAAGTGTCCACATATCTTTTCGTCTTTTTCGTGGTCATTCTGGTCTATTTTGCTTGCTATTTGGCTGATGCTTCCCAGTATCCACCTGGACTAATCCAGACCCTTTCTAACATCCACCATAGACTGATCACACACCCCTTTACCATCACTGCACATCTGCACTTTACATTCTTTAACTCTTTATGAATCTGCTATGAGACCTCAATCTTTCTGTAGTTTACAATGACGTTTCCCTTAGTTCCTTCATCTCTAACATGCTACGCAATGCCAATTCATACGTATATGTGTGTATTATATACATATATATATATATATAAGATCCCAATAACATATACTGTTTTTGTCCTGTCTAGTATTTATTGTCCTGTGTATTTATTCTTTTGTATTTTTTGTCTGGTGTACTTATTATATATTATGTAGTCGTTCCACACTTTCAGTGTATACAAGTTATATTGAGGAATGGCAAAGACCGCTTGACTTGAAATGATGCAGCTGCTGCACTATTTAGGGTGCAACGGTAAAATTCCAACAAGAATCTGATGAATAAGAAGCTGACTTCAGCTTCGTATTAACATAATCGTTTCACTTTCTTCATATAAAGTAGCTAAGCAGGCTGCGTAGCTTGTGCTTTTCAGACCCTGACCAGGGGCTGCACCTCAACCGGCCCCATAAAATACATACAAGGCCGAATTTTTGGGTAAAAGCGATTATTTCGTTACTTAGTAGCCTTTTAACACGGAGCCAGAAACATCTTTATATGTATTTGGAGACAGGTTAACCTAGAGAGAGTGTGACGTCCATTCACTAGTTAAAGAGGTTTTTTTTTTATTTTTTTTTATCGCACCTCTTTCTCCGACGCTGTTCCTTCAACTCCGAGTAAAGCATACAGGTCCATCTGTAAAATTTCCTTCGCTGAAGCCATGGCTCAGTTTATTTATCTACAAACTCACACCTGAAACTGCTTTGAAAACCTGCAGCACTGTAAACACTTCCGGGTTGTGACCCTTCCGTACAAATGACGTCGTGGATAAAATAAAAGTCCTTCAACCTGTGAAATAAAAGAGTCCCGCTGTTTAAACGACAAACAGGATCAGAGTCAGCAGCAAACTGAGCTGCTGATTTCGGGATAATCACACAGGATACGATGTTTCTATTAGACAGAGTGCCATAATATTAATCTTGTTACTGTTTGTCAGTTTTTCACCGTATCAAATACATTTTGAGAAATACACAATACGAGTGAAAAATCTAAAAAAAAAAGCACCAACGCTTACGAAATTTTCTCACGTTTTGTAGTAAGTGTTAATTTTGTATTCAGTACTGTGCCTCTAAAAGGGGAATCCCACCAATTTTTCAAAGTTTCTGAACAATTCAGTCCTTGAAATGTAAGCATTCAGTCATTCAGAGTAGTTTTATCATTTTAGAGAAACTTACAAACTGACTCTTATTTTCAATGGTGGGACAGAACCCAGGACTCGCCATGTCTACAACATAGAATTTTACTATCCAAAGCCACCAGTGAATCTACACAGGTCTTCTGAGTTTTTATATGTAGTGTGGATGATAGTAAAATAATGGTAAATCTGAAGAAAAAAAGTTTTCTTTGGGGACTATTTTGCCTCACAATGGCCTGCATGTACCTCTCCACCATTAAATGATAATAAAAACGTCAAAACATTACAAAGCTATCAAAAAACAGCGTGTCAGACACCAAGCAGCACATATCTAATCACGTAATAACCTCCTGTGAGGGAGCTTTCAAAGGCATTAAACTCTTCAGACGGTTCCTATCACCGCCACTGGGAACAATTCGGACCCAGCACGTTTCTCCAAAATGTAGCATTTCACATCAAACCTCTTTGAAAGACTTTGTTTACATCTTAACCATTTTATTATGTAGAATATTTCAAAAATCGGTGGAGTTCCCCTATAACGTCTAGCCAGGGACCACATTAGCCTTTTCGGCTAACTCGGTCTCATTCACACTTTTGTTGATACTGTTTGTTCATTGGCACTGTGCCTGAGAACTAAATTAGTAAATAAATGACATTTATTTGGAATTATATCCTATGCATTTTCACTATATTACATGTATTTGAATATGTAATTTGAATAATAAGCATCAGCTAAGCCACGTATAAACTGCAGTGGCCCAGATGGCCAGCAGATGGCGGTAAATGATAAATGATGTTATTTCTGTGCTCAGTTGATTCACAGTCAGCTGTTTCAGACGTTTACCCTGAACGATCATGTGATTAGCATAGAAGTGAAAAGGTTCATTACTCGAGAAGGCAGGAGGCTTTACTCCGGGACACACAAGTGAAATTTAAAACAGAGCTGCAGTGGCAGGGCTGTGATTTTACAACGCTAATACAATAACAATGAAACCTGTTAGGATGCCTGGTTTGCCTCATGTCTTCTAAATCACATTTTCTGTAACGCTGACGGATGAGATCGGAAGTTGTTTAACAAGGTATTTGTCAAATACATTAGTCAGTGAAAGCAGAAGACATTTAATGCTTAGGCAGTTTTTACACTATGATAACAAAACTATACATCACGAAGGTGGCTTACACAAAACAAAAAAATTGCACAGTTATGATCTGTAGCAACCATTATCTAGCATGTCTCATATGCTTAACTTACCCTTATGCAAAAAGACCTTTAGGTCCATTAGGATTAAATCCTGATGGTTTTGCTTCTACTTTCCTGTAGGGCATCTTTAGGTTACATTAGAAAGCCATCAAATGCAACTGAAGTAATACAGTCAGTCCCAGAACACCTGTTAAAACCATTAGAATCTTTTACACTGTGATATCAACCCATCAAGGAAACACCAAACCCCATTAGTGACTATTGGACCCCATCAGGAAGCAACAGTAAACATGTAATGGTTATGATTTTTTTCAGCAGGGTAGAGTAGCATGCATGCCTGAAATTCCGTTCAGAGCCGTCATCTCTGCAAGCATTTCAGGTCCTTCCTTGAATCACATGCGCAGGCTTGAGTCACATTTTTCGCTTACAGTGGGAACAGATAAAAAAAAAACATTCATCACAAAAAGGGACAATGCAGAAATGATGCATGACAGAGAATGTTTGCTATGATTTTATCTGAGTCTCAGACTTTTCCCTCTCTACCTGCTCGACTAGCCGCTCCTTGTTACCACCCTCAGCTAGTTTTATAACAAACCCTGAGCAGACTCAGAGAACAGCGTGTATTTATGAAATATAAAAGGTGAAAAGGTGCCAGAAAAGTCTGGTTGCTATGGTAATAATACAGACACACAATGGCAGAAAGGCAGCGAGTCCTGTCTGAATTAAATCTTTGCATAAAATGCTGCCTGCTGAGGAACCTCCATCTGGCTGATTTTTGAAGGCTGCACAGACCCATTTTGTCTTATATCTGTCCATAATCCTGTCAGCACCAACATGGCTAAGAACTTGGCTAATAATCTTATGAGGTGGCTAACTAATCTTAAAGACCAGCTATGTTCTTATTTTCTTTTTATTCTCACATTTTAGAACAACCAGCATGACAGCTTTTTATTAAGTCTGTTGTTCCTGTCAACTAATTTAGCTAATGTGGCTAATGTAATGCTAGGCATCCAAGCTCATGAATCCAGTGAGCTTTTTGAGCGTTAGAGCTTCTTTCTGTGTGGCAAAAAATGCACAAACAGTACCCCAAAGTACTTCAGTATGATCAATAAGCAATTTATTTACTCTTAGTTGGGTTATTTTCTTTATTATACATTAAATGAATTATCACCACAATAGCACCAGCTAGTTAATAGCAGAAGTACAATATTAATAAATTTCTGTTTATTTAATACAAGTCTGAAGCTACATTCAAAACACTTAAAGATGTATGTAAAAACACATTGTGACAAAATGTAGTGTCCTAGTCTTAATATTTTTTAATAAAAGAAGACTTTTAAATAAAAAAAAACTTTTAAGTTCTTAAGCTTTCAGTTCACTTTTATTTAATATTGTTTTTCAGTCAACAAACACAATAGTATAAAATGATGAAAGAATAAAGCTCGGTTACTGTTGCTGTGAGATTGTGGAATAATAATAAATAATAAAAAATAATGGAAGAATAATAAGACAAGGAAAAATTTATTTGTTATGTGTTTTTAATGTAATCCATACAGCTCTTACCTTCCATATGAACATGTTAATACAGTTCATTAATATTTAGTTGAACATAATGCTGGACAAAATTCAATCTGCAATTTAAAATCTCAGCTACTGACCTCTTTGTGTTTTGAAATATTTTTAGAATCTTCAAGGTATAATTTTAACATTGACTGTTCACTGTATGTAGAATACAACACATAACTGTATACTCTAACAGTACCGTACACGTACCGTATATATTGTATTTATAGTATTTATCTATCTATCTATCTATTTGGCCGTTGCCAATATATAGTAAACAATATATAACAGATAGATAATTAGACAGTTGCTTGCAGGCTATTGTTTGCAGGCTGCTGCTCCATGCTAGTGTTTTTATTTTTATTGATTTAGTAAGTAAGCTTGCATTCTGTAAGATCTGGCAAAAATGAGAGATTGCAGAATTACTTTGGTGGCCTTCAGGTCATTCAGTCCGGCAGCTACGCATCAAAGAACAACAGGATGAGGAAGTCCAAGACAGGAAAAGAGCTCATACCCCCCTGATGGGGAAAAGTGCACACCCTGGATTCATGCAATACTATCATACTAGTCATCACACTACAGAAAGTGAGAAGTTACTGCATTCATGTTGGGGTTAGTTACGAGATAGACAGGAAATAGCAAGCAAATAGACTAAACAAAACAGTAAAACAATATGAAGGACTGGAAAAAGTTTTAATGTGACAACTTGGCACAGTAGCTGCTTTATCAACAGTCCGTCTAGCTAGTCACTAGGATCTTAAAGACCCCTGCTAATGGACTAAAAGGCATGAGGGTTAGAACAAGAAAAATACACATGTCTGCACATGCCCACTAATCTGCCTGACTCCTTCATACGCCAGAAGGGTCCATGGAGCCAGGATTTCACTTTTTTACACCTGAATGCATTATTGCTCTGTATTCTGGAAAAGATTCCGGAAAACATTTTTGATATGCTTTTTAAGACCTAGTACCATCAACAATCTGCCATCAGATGAATCTCAAAGATGCTACTTCAGCAAATTTTAACATAATATCTAAACCTGATGACCCTGGCTCCTAAAGATGTGGACTAAGCATGTGTAAAGCCTGGTCATCAGAATACTTTTTGTGAATTATATTGCCTTTAACCAGTGTAATTAACCAATTAAAAAATGAATAGAGGCTCTTTTGGAGAGGACTGGTCATCTTCTTGGGTTCACAATCATTTCTATAAATATAACCATTCCTTTTTAATGACAAAGGCCAGAACATTTGAAATAAGTTGCGCTATTTCTTTGAATGAGATCCATGATCCTGTGCAAAGCACTTGCTTCCAGACTTCATTTTACATCATTGAGCATTAATTGTATTCCAGATCTTCTGGAAATGGCAAGGAGTATCACACTGTGGTGTGTTTGAATGAATTAGGCATCCTCCTAGGCCTGTGCCCAGTGTTAGTTAACCATGTAACTGCAACATTATGCTCCTGTGATTGTAAAAACTGAGTAACACAATGAGTAAAAAATGTTCTTTGTTCATTAATTTATTTTGCCAAACCAGAACGAGACAGTAGTGTAGTATCCCCATGTGACACATAATAGTCCTCCATTTGCCGACACTGTTTAAACAATGTGCTTTCCTTAATCTCATCCTAGCATCACAACTCCAGGACCTATCAAGGCCCCCTTTGACATCATACTGAGAACAAAGCTAGTGTTGAGTGAATAAGCAGTGGACAGTGATGAGCACGGCAGTCTATAACAGCAATGATTTGAGCTTAGCCCTTGAAATATTTTTGTCTGGGACTGGCCTGAGCTGAGCAGAACTCTAGATGGGGACTCAGATATTATCAGTGGTAATTATGTGAAAACAGGAAAGTAAACATGAAGCAACATGAATGATAAGGCGTTAAAAAACAGACGAGGCATCTAAAGTAGCTACAGTTTCCAAAATAATATTCTCACATGATAGATAACACACACACACACACACACACACACAAACACACATCATCTAAACCGCTTGTCCTTCTGGGTCACAGTGGAGTGCTGGAGCCTATCCCAGCCATCATTGGGCTGAAGGCAGGATACACCCTGGACAGGTCGCCAGTCCATCGCAGGGCAGACAGACATGATAGATAACGTGACTGCATTATTACGAATTAGTGACTGTGTTATTCTGAAGCTCCCACAACTACTGAAATATTGGTTAACCATTACTTTTCTGTGAATGACAGTCGTTCACTGTATCTCTCTCTACACAAACACACCTCACTGACACAATTGGAGGGTGGAACTGCTATTGTTCTTTACCAGCAGGGCTAACTAGTTAGAGTTAGAGCATACAATGACAGTAAAGAGGACAGAAAGGGAGAGTGGATCAGAGAGAGAGGGGCAGATTAACAATTAGAGATAGACACTAATTAGCATATTGCTGCTGTCAGCACAAAACATCTTATCAATATTTCCAAGTCATTTTGGTCCGTTTGGTCCATAGCTGAGAGTTTCGTTTGATAATACGTTGGGTGGGAGGGGGAGGTGAAAAATGATATTATTGTTTAATGCTGTATTATAATAAATAATTCCTCCCTGCTGGCATACAGTGAGGTAATCCAAACTCAGAAAACATTTTAGAGATGGGCAAAAGTCACTACATTTCAATCAAAGAATGCAGGAAAACAGGACTTTTGTCTTTAAATGGTACAGTATGATGAATCATGCTTAATATCATCAGGGGCATGAACTAACAAGATAAAAAAGTCAGTTTTGATTTCAGGTTGACTGTAAGCCTCAGTTGTTTTCATACCCCAAAAGATCTCTGAATATATGAATACCTGTCCAATCTTGTCATCTCATTTAATGGAGAATTCCACAGAAATTTTTAAATTTGCATAATTCTGTGGTTGAGAAAGTCATTGGGAGTGGTTTGATTTGATTTGCTTCATTGTAAAGAAACTTACTGACTGAGATTTCTTTACGGTGGTGATCACAATGTCTTCAACACAAATATATCAATTTAATTCATTTGTAGGTTCACAAATGAACCTACACATCTATACATAATGTTGACAAAGGTAAAACAGAGCTAAATCCTAAAAAATACACTCTTGAAAAAGATGGCTCTTCAAGAGTTCTTTATCAAAGAAGATAGTTCTATACAGAACCATGAGCACTCAAAGAACCTTTTGCAAGATTACAGAAAGCGTCATGAAAGGGTTCTTCAGATTGATGGAAAATGTGCATAAACGTGCTACAGATGGTTCTATACAGAACCTTTTTGAAAAAGGTTCTATATAGCACCCAAAAGTATTCTTCTGTTGTTATAAGCTTGACATCGTAGCAATAGAAGAACACTTTTGGGTGCTATACAGAACCTTTTCAAAAAGGTTCTATATAAAGCCATCTATAGCATATTCTCCATCAATCTGAAGAACGCTTTAATCATGCAAAAGGTTCTTTGAGTGTTCATGGTTCTTCTTTACTAAAGAACCCTTAAAGAGCCATCTTTTTAAAAAGTATATGTTTCCTTTTGGGGACTATTTTGCCTTATATCACCCTGCATGTATCTCTCTGCCATGCTTGTATTTTAAAAATATGTTTTAAGCCAAAAGCTTATCGCAAAACTATCATAAAACAATGGGCCTTATTCACCAATATCTTCCTTTTTTGTTTTTTTTCCTCTTAAATTAGTTCTTGAGAAAGGTCCTAAGAAAAAGTCTACACCAGATTCTTAAACCGCAGAAATGTTCACACCTTTGTGCTTTTGAGTGTGTGTAGATTCCATTCTTATCTAAGAACAAATCCCAAATAAGAAAACATTAGTGAATATCCTGTTCATGAAAACTGTGTAATTGGGTTTTTAAGAAGAAAGTCTTCTTAACAGTGGTTGGTGAATTAGGCTGCGTATTCACCACCACTTCATGGCACAGCTCTTTCTGTGCAGTAGAAGAATTAAATTCTACAGTTGTTTGGTTCCTATCATCAACAGTGAACAATTCTGGTGCTGTAATTTTCTCATTTCACATCAAACAACTCTGAATGACTGTGTTAACATCTCAACCATTTAATTATGCAGAAATGATGAAAAATTGGTGGAATTCTCCTTCACAATATTACCCAAACACCTTTTACCTTGTCAAAGGGTACGGCAAGGTCGAGTGAGATGGAGAATAAGTTGTGCTACAACAACATTCTTCAGAATTATTTCAGTATTTCTTCGGCTCCTAACATCTACTGCAATAAAATACAATATAAAATAAAGATAGTCTTCCTGTTTTAACCATTCACCGCGGTCACTTATAACACGGTTTCCCAAGTGTAAACGGTATCGGCACAGCCCTTCATCCACCCTGTAGCGCTGAGTCCTCCAATCCTGTGTAAACTCCAGCGAGGGCGGAGTCCCCACTATGCATGAGTGTAAACCCTGTTTGTGTGAATCATGCGGGCTGAATCACTTCATCCAGTAAAACCATCACAGCTGAACAGTTGAGTTCCAGCCGTTTGAGAGCAGCGTGGAAATAAAGGGACAAAATCACCCGAGAGGCTTTAGTGCCGGACATTCCTGCCGGACATTAATGGAATAGAGGTAGGCTTGACCAGAGCTCAGCGCATTTCACTCGCCTTTTCACCATGTTGTAATCGTCTCAGGCGACGCGTGGCAGACTCCGAGTTGGGCTTTGGAGTTGAAGCGGTTTAAAAGAAGTGGAGCATTTTAGAAAATGCACAGCCTAAATCGCCATGTCTAAGTACTGAGATCTTTCGGGGCCACTGCTCGCCATTATTCCTGCAGTAATACTGACAGAGGAGCTCAGGGAGTCTGAGGGACTTTCTCTGCAGGTCGCATCTGTCTGTCCGTTATCGATTTCAGGGAGGTTGTGTGACTTTGACCTACATCAGCCGGCTTTCCCGGGGACGCTGCGTGGACATTACGAAATGCAGAAAAACAGCAGATGGTAAATGTGAGAAAGAAAGAACATCTGTAGCTGTTCATCGATTAGCCTCGTTCTAAACACCGTCCGGCCGCCAGTTTAACCCTGTCGTGGCTTCTTCAGCGTTTTTACGGGTTTATTGGAAGCTTATTCAGACGTAATGGAATTGGTCTCATACAGACCATAACAGGTAGTGCAGAAGGTGAAGAAGCTCGCTGGTCGTAACAGGCATGCAGTGAAAACGTTTATCTGGGGGCGGGCGTGTGTGTGTGTGTGTGTGTGTGTGTGTGCGGGTAGGTGGGTGGGTGTGAAAAGGTGTGTATCTGTGTTTGATAGATATCAGTACATTCTTGCTCTCAGGTCACGTGAGCACACAGTGTCACATCTGATATTTACCAGTTTGTTGACTCCCTAATTCGATGACCGCTGTACAGTGCTAGAAAAACTATCAAGCATCGAAGCCTGTTGTGTTAAAGGGGGATTCCTACAAAATTCCCTGCATGATTCAATCTTTAAGATGTAAAAAAAGTCATTCAGAGTGGTTTAATGTGCGCTGTAGAGAAACTTACCAACAGTTTTACAGTGGTGGTGATAGGAACCAGGGTCTACCACGCAACTATAGACACTTTATTCACTATCCAGAATGACCAGTGAACACACACATCTTCTCAGTTTGGATAGGTAATGATGGTGAAATAGTGGCAAATACGAGGGAACCTGGGCACTATTTTGCCGCACAACAGCCTGCATGTATTTCTCCACCATGAATAGATTAAAAATTGCATTTTAGTCGAATCTATTGTAATACAGTGTCTCAGACATCAGGCAATATAGTCATAGCTATTTCATGTAATGGCTTTTTTGCAAGGTAAATTTAAAAGGCATTAAACCCTTTCCAGCAACTGAGAAAAGTGGTTTCTGTGGGAGAGAGTTACTCCCTCTGGTGTGTACTTTGGTCTTTGTAGCTTTGCAGACCGTTTACATGCACAAAAAGCTACATATCACACTAAAGGAACGGGAAAAACCTGGAAAAGCATAAAAGGTCCCCTTTAATTAACTTGCATATACTTTTTACATATATTTATTTATTTATTTATTTATTTCTGTCAACAGTTATTCTAGCAATTTTATTTACTGTTCAAAATCACCAGTGAACCTACGTGTGTCTTCTGAGTTTTTATATGTGATGATGATGGTTTTCTTTAAGGAATATTTTGCCAAACCTGCATGTACCTCACAGCTATGTATGTAATTTAAAAGAAATACATTTTAGGCCAAAACTTTATCTCAGAACTATTGCAAAAGAATATCTCATGCAAGAGAGCATATTCATAACCATTTCATATACTAACTTTCTGTGAAATAGCTTTTTGAGGCATTAGATGCCAGGATGTCTGGTTCCTATCACTACCACTGTGAACAGTTTTCGATGAGTTTCTCTCAAATAGTGCCTTTCACTTCAAGCCACTCTGAATGACTTTGTTTACAACTTATTCACTTAATTACGCAGAATGTTTGAAAAATTGATGGAATTCCCCTTGAAAAAGGTCACAGTTTTCTCTGTGTTTCTTCATAATGAAATCTATAAAGGAATAAATAAAGGCCACTACACTGCATGTTTAGACATAAAAGTTTGTATCTCTTGGTACTAACTTTAACTGTTGAAGGTTGGAGTTTATAGATCAGGCACCCTCTACAAAAGTATGGTGAACATGATCCAAGTTCAGTTACTGCACTGTCAAAGTGTAAATACTGCATACTTTCCTCAAGAGCAATTTGAAAATTGTTTTGACGCTGCTGTGTCCATCAAGTTCTCCTGTGAAGCTGGGTATGACCTGTAAAGGTTGATTGTATTGATTCTTTTGTAATTAGGTGCTGAACAGTGAAAGAGGAACGCCCCTCTATTTTAAGAATGGTCTTAGTCAATGCCCCTCTCGTGTCACTCTCATATGCTATTTCTTCCAGTAGGGCAACTCAGAGCTATGTGGATAAGTGAACAAGACTTGTTTGTGATAAAAGCTACTTTAAGTTTTTACACTACGCCTCTCAACTTGTCCTTAAAGGAATACTCCAGTGTTTTTCACCATATAGCCTATGGTTGATGACTATAGGCAATAATTTTGATGTTTCCCTGTATTTAGCACAACAACAACAACAACAACAAACATTAACTCAAAACATACTTATAATGAAAGCCAAAGGGCAATTGCTCCATCTGAAGTGGCAGGGCTGAATCAACTGCCCATTGGCTTGTGTTATACAGGGACACGTGCTGAAATTATGGTTTGTGGTAACTGACAACACCTTACAGATACAGCAAAAAGAGATTAGGTAGAAAAACACTGGAGTATTCTGTTAATTTGCATAATGTTATGCGTATTACCATCACATACCTTACGTGTGGAATTCACATTTCTCCCGAATAACTAATATTTTTATTAGAAAGACTTTTCCCTAGCACGCCAAAGCTGATTTCACAATAGCAGATTTTTCCGAATTGCAGAAGCAGATTATGGTCATTCAGTGTGGACATCTTCATATTATACATTTCAAGTGTAAACTGGTTACATTAGCTTTGGACAGTAATCCCAAATCTGTTTCTGTCTGACATCCTTGCCAGACCACAGTCAGCGTTCTCTGTTGAACTATAGGGTGGTTCAATCAATGACAACAATGAAATGTGCAAATACAGGGTGCGGCAATCACAAACTAACATGTCAGGGACGATGAAAAAACCCAGTGGCTGCTGCCTCTTGAGCTTTGTATTGATATCTTTGCCTTCACTTAATGTAGAGACTTCAATCAGTTTGTCACAAGAATGCCTGCAATGGTCCTTGTTCTGCTGTGTTTTTAGGGCTGGAATCCAGAGACTAATCTGAACCAGATGTAGCCTTCTAGGATCTGATGCAGTACGATGTAAGCATAGTTGCAAGCGGTTAAATGCAAACATGACAGTGCTTTAACCAAAAGTGCTCTGTAACAATACACATACACCAACTGGCCACTTCATTACATACACCTCCTTGTATCCTTACTCACTGTCTATTTTATCAGCTCCATTTACCATATCGGTGCACTTTTTACTTCACAATGACATGCTTTAGCCCACCTGTGTCTGTGTATATTTTGTTAGTCCCCTTTCATCCTGTTCTGTAATAATCAGGACCAAGTGAAATACTCTATTTCAGAAGGTTCCCTGAGCTTATCATGTTGTACTAGGTGAGGGTGGTGGGAGGGGAAGGTGAAATATGATGTAATTGGTTAATATTATTGTTCCCTGCCTGCTGGTGCACAGTGTTTAATCAAAATTCAGAAGATGTTTTAAGCCCTATTCAAGTTGGATTAGTTTTACCTCTGAGTGATTATCGACGAGATCCATGATTTGTAATCCAGTACAAATCTGCAATGCATGCATGGTTTTAAAGGGGTGTCCGGGGTGGCCAGTGTCATGCTAAAATTTCTGCCATGTCATTGTTTTCCACCTCACTGTGGGGCAGAGTTGTTTTGCTATTGGTAAAACAACTCTCCAACAAGTCTACAATATAACAATGCATTTTTATCTGAAACAAGTTAGTGGATACTTTGCATGTGGTAAGTTACACAGGAAGCTGCCAAAGCTTGCTCCTCAAGATTATGCTATCGAGGCAAGGCAATATATAGAGGAAACATGACAAATGTCCGTGGTCACCTAAATCCAGCTCAGGCTGCACATTCCAGAGAAAGAAAGCAACAAACCAGCACTGGTCCTTCCAAAAACTTCACTCACATTACAAAGCAAAACATCCTTCCTGTGTTCATAAAATTCTCCCCTTCATTTCCTTGAGTAGGACAATGACAGTTGTTCTTGAGCGTATTTAGTTTCTCCATTGGAACGTCCCGAACTGGCTTGACAAATATTTTGTCCTCTTGGTAATATAAGATATCAAAATCTATCCATCTACTTTGACCACTTCAGAATTGACTGTTATATTTATAGGCCTTTTCACAAACACAATACGGCTGGATGATACTGGATTGTTGTAATGTAGGCTATCACCCGGGAGAGTTCGCACTCTCATAGACTGGCGCAATGTCAGTTTCACCATGCAGGGGGGATTTTATCAAGGTCAGGATATTAAAAACGGCTTATGGAACGTTCTGGTAGTGTGCAAACACACAGATGCACTTACTTTAGAGGCCCTCTAACGTAAAGAATCAATATTTCCACTTGCTAAGGCCGTTTTTCAAGTTCAAGAAAGTAATGTGGAACTTGACCACAAGTTATGAAGTCAGAAAAAGGAGAAACAATGCAACTTTTTGTTGTGGCAACACGCTTCCCTTTTCAGGAATGTCCTTCCTTAAAAAAGGAAGCACTCAAGCTTGTGTGGAAGCCCCTACTTTGAGGCCTCTGTGAGAAGCCTTTGAATGGTGATGTCTCTTGAAAAGACACCCTTTCTAAGCAGTTCTTGGCTTGGAAGTACAGTACTGTGAAAAGAGACCAAACATGGCATGAAGTTTTGAGTTTTACATTATGTTTACATCACGTCTTCTTCTGTGAGTTTACTGGCTGCTTGCAAAGCAGAAATCTGATTACTGCCTGAATCATGTAGACTTGGAGTTTTCACGTTATCTGATTACTCAAGTGCATGTAAATGCATTGATCATATTGCTGACAAAA